AACCGGAACACCTAAAAATAGATATATTTGAACCAGAAGTACATTAATCTAGAAATTTTGCTTAAGTTAAATATGTAGTCCTTGTCTAGCAACCACAATTGGGACTGGCAACTTGATTGCTAAATGATGCAGTCCCCAAAGCAGAAATCACATAATTGCAACTGTGCTTATGACTTTACTTTGTCTTTCTTTCCTTTTTTCCTACTTGCCTGCACTTTGAAATGTTTAACCAGTGCTGGGATAATTAGCAAGAAGGGAATTAATATTTGTATTTACATTCATTGGAAAGGAATGCATAACAAGAAAGTAAACAGCCACACAATAGGGAATACACATTGAAAGGAATGCCCTAGTGCCTACAACTCCGAGTACACTCAGGCTGAAAGCTATGAGTGCGCTAGGTAAACAGCCACTTTATTGTGTGTTATTTCTTGTAATCATTTCCAATTTTTCTGCCCTATGAGGAGGGTAAGGGGGGGGAATGGGTCAGGCACAGGACAACAGATACTGGCTGTAATGGTAATCACATGACTGAGAAAAACTCTGAAGATCGTAAATGTGCACCTTGGTCCCAAAGTTATTTTTTATTACCTTTGTAAATTTGAACAGACAGTAAAGGAGATTTACCTGTATATAAATTACTGACTTTCAGCAGAGATGTAAGGAATATTGCTAAATTCTATTCTGAAAATTAAACTGGCTACAATCTGTACATTGCTGTAAAAATGTAATTAATTGGTTTACATACATAATTTTTACAAGTGTTACAGGTTGCAAGTTTCAAACATTAGTTCCTGTTTCATCTCATGACAGTAAAAATGTGAGCCAAAACTCTATGCAGTACTTTATTGCTAGTTCATTGCTAGATAACAGAACTGTTCAATCACATTTTTAATCTGCCATTCAAACATATACTTTTCTTGTACTAGCAAATCTACAGATCTTCTAGGTTTTAGATTTAGATAATAATTCTAGATGCTGCAAGCTTTCATTCAGCTATAAGGAACTAACAGCAATCCTATAATTACTGAATAAACTTGATGAGAGAGTAGACTGAAAGGGAGAAACTGTGAAGTTTTCCGAATAGAATTGATAAATTTTGAGAATGCAATCATTATTTTAAATTGGTAATAGATCTGTATTTTGTTTTCTAATTCAACAGGCCTTATCTGGTCAAGGTATTCTCTAGTAATTATTCCTAAAAACTGGGGCCTGTTTACTGTTAATTTCTTTCTTGGCTGTGCTGGTAGCTCTCAGCTGTACCGCATATGGAGGTAGGTAATTAGGAAGAATGTTTGCCAATGTTGTATTCTATTGTTTAATTCTGAAAGTTATACCTCCAACATATTTAAAAATAGGAAAGACTGTATGATAGGACCAGAGAAGGCAAAAAAAGGGGAGCCCTCCCAACCGTTTTTTCCCCATGTTGGTGTCTGGTCCTATTCCCAACTATTATTATAGGGAGTTGGGGCTGGTCAGTGTTAGAAATCTGTAAAAAGTAATTCCTCTTTTTTTTAAACAACGACAATAAAAACTGTCCAACAAGGGATCGAAGCATTGGATGCCTTATTAGCTGTTAGTGTAATCTTTGGTTCTCCTTCATTCAGCTCATCTGAACTAGTAGTAGTAGTGGTATCTATAGGATACGATTAGTTGGTTCCTTAGCAGGCCAGTCTTTGAAAGCCTACTATAACGGTCTTGGTTCAATAGAAGCGATTTTTCTTAGGCTGGTAGTAGATAATATTTCAGTTATCTAGATTTATTCAAACCCATTGTTTTCCTTGTATAATGCAAATTGATGACTCCTCTTTGCTTTGAACATTGCCTATCTTAAACAAAGTCCTTGGGAAAATGTTGGTCTGCTTTTTCTACTGATTACTCTCATTTTATGCAATCCACACAGTATGTGTTACTCATTTTCTGTTTAGTAACAGTATTATTGCAGCAGGTGGCAAGAGCTAGGAAATTTTGACATATCCTGAAAAAGCTAAATAGGACTAGATCTTTTTTGTATCTGCATAAGCGATTACCAAAAGATTCCAGGGATATAGGCTATATTGGGATGAAAAAAATATCTCAGTAGAATGCAGTAGAAAATGGAAAACCACTTATTTTGAGGTTTCATCTTGCTAAAAGTACTGCACTGTTATAAACTAGTTTCTACTAACTGAAAATACATATTTATAGCAAGCTTAAGTGATATAATTTTAGATTGTGCAGTGGCATTTTTGAATTAGTATAATATGAAGCTGAACTTTCCTAACAAGTCATGCTACTAGAAGGAAACATGTATGTGCACAAATAAACTTTCCCAGCTACTTTGATTTAAAATAGGACCTACCAGAGCTGAACTGCAAAACTTCATACATTTACCAGATCCAGTAAAAATACAAATGTTTTCCTGACATTTAATGGTTGTCCAGATTTTTGCAGTCCAGATCTGATAGCCTTCCTTAAACGAAATATATAATAAAACCTGTCTCTTGAATTAAATTACAAGCAAATTAAAATCAATGCAATTTAGTTATAGTTCTTATTGAATATTAACCATGTTTTTAAAGAACTGATAGGAAAAACAAAAATAAAAATATAATTTCTAATTTAATGCAATGTTTTTTTCTTCTTCACAATATGTTGGCAATAGTGAATAATTTGTATTCTCTTTTTCTGACAGGTATAACCAAGAGTTAAAAGCCAAGGAACTGGAAAAGCAGCAGTAGAAATTCTAGTTAATTTCTTCTAATCTCAACATAAACTACTTCCTAAGGGACCTAGTTTTAATCCTGTTCAGTTGCCTAGTGTGAATTTTTACTAAAAGTGGTACAGCATGCTTTTCTATAAAGTTAGAAAGCAACCTCTTTGTATTTAAATAAACTCTTTAATAAACTCCAAGTCTCTTCTTAAGCCCAAATGCAACTGATGCATGTATTTTTAAGGACAGAAGCAAGATGACTTTTCTGACTCTCAGAAACCTGAATTTGAAGGGGAAAATGTGACTTAAGCGATTCAGGGGTCTCACATATCTTTCACCAGCAACTTAAATATAATCTTTTCCAAGCTCAGGGAACTGCCACTTCATAATCAGAAAAAGACATATTAGGTTTCATGAGGTGCTGACATATGCATACATGCCAAATATATTTTCTTCTTCAACATTGCTGCAGTCTTAATAGCTATAGAGCCAATGGCCCAAACAGCATAAACTACTGTAAAACTGGAGACAGGGCAGGACTGAATTCATATATTTTTCTATATTTTAAAATATTCACTTTTTCAAAATATGAAAATTCATCAGAATCATAGTATTTTTTTTTAAATTGTGCTTTGTGGAAGATTGGGATTTATGTTACATTTTTACATAGCTAGAGAAATGTTACTTTTTCAGAGTGCTCCTGAACTCCATTAGCCCAGAGACAAACTTTGATTACTGCAATGGATCCTACACCACACGTGTGCTTGTGCTATAGCACCGTTGCTTGAGCTGCATTGGTTTCCATTTGTTTTCCAAGTACAATTCAAGGTGCTGGTTATCACTTTTAAAGCCCTATGTGGCAAAGGGCCAGATTATTTGACCAACTGCCTCTCCCTTAGGATATCTTTCCATCCCATTAGATTAGATAGGGGACACTTTAGGGGCCTTCCCTCAAACATTGTCACCTAGTTGGGTCCTGGGAGCATGCTTTCCATATAGCTGCCCCTGCCCTTTGAAACAGCCTCTAACCTGAGATGAGGGAGGCCTTGAAGACCTGATTCTTCCCTTAGGCACTAGGGTAGGATGGGGCTATGTCATGAGATTTGTACCATGAGTTACTATAATGCCTTGTTGGGATTTTATTTTTTATTGGTTTTGCTATGAGCCGCCTAGGATACTATGCAGGATAGGCAGCCAGTTAAGTTCTTTAAGTAAAAAATTTGAGATCTGAGCCCACAAGATCTCTCTCACTCCGCATCATTAGCAGCCCACATTCTTCCCTCAGTACCCTCCATCTTCACTTACATTTCTCTCTGTTATTTTCTTTACTCATTAGCTCCCTGGCCTATGTTTTGCTAATTCTATGCCTGTGCTATTCCTTCCTATGTGTTAAATTGCTCCAGTTATCTTACTGCTGCTTCTCATCTTAGTTAAACACATTTATTTCTGGTATAACTCATTATGATTTCCAAGCCTTCCTGCTTAGCTGGTAATATCAGTGGAGTCTTTTTCCTTCTCTTCACTTTCCTTGGATAGACAGCAGCACTTCAGAATAAAGCAATTGTATATAACAATACTGCCTTGCCTGATTGTATGGATGTATGGGTATTTAATGCTCTAGAGACGTCATGGATACAGGGGAGATTGCTATAGACAGGTTGTTGCTTACCCACATTTTAAGAATTACTATCCGAGTTCCCTTTTATTCAGGAGGGAAGTGAGTAACACTGGAGCCAGCAGTAAGAGTTCAGCAGTGTAAAGATAGGAATTATGCATCTTTAGATGTTGTAGATCTACAATTCCCAGTACCATTCAGTATTAAATATAATGGCTGGGGTTACTGTATGTTGCAAAATTTGGAAAGCCAAAAGCTACGTATAAATATCATTTATATTTTTCAACTATTTTGACTACTTATGCAACCTGAGCAATGCCTTGTTTTAAAATTGAAGAACTAGCCTTAAAAAATAAAACATGCTTCTTTGTGTCCCAACATAGGGAATGTATGTTGTAACAGTCTCTGCAACATGCTTTTCCCCTTCTGGGTAAACATGAAAATAGATAGTCATTTCTATCTCTCCACTCCACATTTACCCTTCATTGAATGGGTGCACTAATTGTTTTGCTCTGGTTTGCTTACACTATATGGCAAGTAAACCCACTGAGTTAAGCCAAAACAAATAAAATAAAATCTTGTCTGGCTTTGTATGATATGAATCCAGCTATTTGAATTCTGACTACCCATTTAAGGTACAAATTATTCCATCGTCTATCATAGTAGATTGACAAATTGAGACATACAACAGACCACTAATGAAAAAGGTTTATTAAAATATTCACAAGAGTACAATATAAAGCTGCTTATGAGAATATGGAGAAGAAAGAAGACTTGTACAATAAAAAATTCCAGTTTTTTAAAAGTGCAGAAAAGGTAAAAAAGGGCTCAATGTTGCATGGAATGGATTTACCTAGTGACAGGAAATCTTAGCACGTCTAAAGTTTGGGAAGTTAACTTTCACAACTGGAAGTCATTTGTCTTTTATAGAAAAGTACAGCACCACAAAAACACTGCTCATACATAAGTTGAGAGATTTTTGTACTTTAGTTTGAATCTGAATTCAATACGTGAAAAGTGCAACTCAGCATACAGAAATAGAAACAATTATGAAGTGTTTCAGACAGTTACATGATTTTGTAATCTCTTAACAAGACTTGGGCTTCAGGCTCATGTGTTGACTGAATTACTTCTGCTTCTACCAAAATATACTAAGTAGAGAAAGAAAAAACTCTGTAGTGTAAACTGAGCTAGTTACAAGACAGATCATAATTACTTCAAAAAATAATGCACTGGAGAACATCAAGGACAAGTCTAAATGCCTGTTGGAAGAAACTGTGGCCCAAAGTTTACATTACATAAATCCAGACAAATTAGGAACCATTCCAGGCAATCCAAACAAGAAACCACCAAAGAACTAAAGGAGTTGGCTAGGAGAAGAGCGGTACAAGTTTTTATAGCAGATTCCCAACCTGGACTTCCTGCCCACACCTCTGGGAGATGCAAGATGGAATTTCAAGGAGTGCAGCCACTAAGGGGCTTGTGTCCCTTAGTGATGAGTCAGAAGTCATCACTCAGCCAGCCAGCCACGTTCCTTGAGCAGTGGTAGTAGGGGTTGTGCTGCGTAGTCTTAACATAGAAGTAATTGATTGCCAGAGTACTGCTTTTAAAATCATTATAATGCAAAATCTGACATGATCGTATATTGTTTCCCTCATAAACTAATGAGTTCAAGAGTTCCTTAAGTATTTCACCCCTCAGGGCCTCTCAGCTTGCTTACCACCTCACTTAAATTCACTTGGCCAATCCCACACTTATCCCTGTTTTATCCAACCAAATACCTCCCTCAAAGCCACTGACTTCTCCCATATATAATCAAAGGAACTGAAGATGGAAGGATTGAAGAAAAGACAGGAGGTACCTTTTTATCTCAAGCACACTCCAATCTCCAGCTGCTTGAATAGAAAGATATGTAAACTCCTTTGTGTGTGTTCGTTTCACCATATTTTGGTAGCACAATTTATTCATTCACTCATACTAGCCAGGTGTAAGTTTATTGGTAATGAAATAGACCAACTACACAGTGTCATTCACTTCCAGAAGTTACTACCATATAAATTGTGGCATTGGTTGAGTGCGTTTTGACAGTGTTCATCACTAATTTCATCACTCGAGTAGCGCATTTAAATAAGGCCACTTGTGTGAATATTAGATGATATAGTTGTGATGTATCATGTCTATTACACATTGATATATGCACAGCAGGAATTCATCTCATATTGTGTCATGGTATGAGTTACCTAATAAATTGTGTCACATTCCTGTAGAGCAGGCATATCGAACTTATGTCGCGCAACGTCATATGACGTTGCGAGTTTTACATTCCTACTGTAGAGTTTTCACCTGATGATTTATCTTGATGAAACTCAGATATCGTAATATAACATTTGAAAGTGTATTTCTTGTGATATTTTGCTATAGGTATGTCGGACTAAATAAAGCAGACATCCCTGATTTAATTATAGTTTTTCTCACACTTAGTCATATATTTTTCTTTCTGTTTTACAAACTAAAATTTCATGTCAAAATAAAATAAAATAAAATGGAATGATGACTATTTGTGCTTTCTTTTCACTTGTACAACAGGAAATGTTGGTTTGGAAAAGACCCAGTGCATTTTTTGCAGTGTTGTGTTTTCCAGCTCAAATCTGAAGCCATCCAAGCCTCGAGAGCATTTCAAGAATAAGCATGGGGCAGCTGATGTTGAAGGACATGATGTTGAGTCATCAAAAATCAAAAGAGCTTGTTTTGATTCACAAGAAACTCTTCCAAAATTAGACTGCATTTTTGTTGGGAAAAAAACCCTACCTCTTGTGTCATACAAAGTGGAATCTAAAGTGGCCAAATCCAAGAAGCCTCATACTATTGCAAAAGATCTGAACAATAAATGTGCAGTAGAAATGGCAACAATTATCAGAGCAAAGAAGCAAGAAAAAAATATTGAACAGTTGCTCCTACCAAATAATGTCCTTCACAACCAAATCATTGATTTGAATGAAGATATTTTGGGCCAAATCATCTCAAATGTCAGACCTAGTCCTTTTAAAATCTCCATTTAATTGATTCTCCAGCTGTAGTCAACTCACATGAGTGAGGTATGTCAATGATGGTACTGTGAAGGGTGACTTCCTGCTTTGTAAACATCTGAAAACAAACACAACTGCAAAGGATGTGATGCAGTTAGTGAAAGATTTCTTCCCTAAGCATGATCTGGATGTCAAGGAAATTGGTACTATGTGCATTGACACAGCACCTGTAATGCTTGGAAATTAACCTTTTTTTTTGCATTGGTGAAAAAGAAGATTATACACATACAAATTTTTTCTTCATTGGCATGCTTTGGCATCAAAATATTGCCTCCAAATTTAAAGAAAGTACTTGATATTTGTATGAAGATCATCAACTGGATAAAGGGGCATACTTTAAACCATCACATCTCTAAATCACTTTGTGAGGATCTGAGAAGTGAGCATTCAGTTTTGCTTTTCCACAAAAAAGTCTGTTGTCACAAAGACAAGCTTTACCCTGCTTCTTTGAACTGCTGGAAGAAATCAAAGGGTTTTTTTGGAGAAGCATGAATGTAATCTTGTTGGGGGATTAGAATCAAAGGAATTTGCCTAAACATAGATTTGCTTAACTCATATTTTCACTCATATGACTGACCTGAGTGTTTCTCTTTAAAAAAAGATAAACATGTTGAAGATTTGGGAAAAATTGAATGCCTTCAAAGAAAATTTATATATTTCATCTTGAAGGATAGAATGAGGCAATCTCTCAAATTTTCTTTCACTTGACAAAATGGTTGATGATGTTGGATCCATAATTCCTACTGTGTGTGTTGAGGTTGTGGTTCATTTAGAAATTCTGTCAAAATTGTTTGATCTGGAGAGCTGAAGGTTTTAGAAGAATGGATTATGGATCCATAGTCCTACAATTTGGAGAAAATACCAGATGATGAAGAGCTGAAGGAAAATCACATTGATTTGTGGACAAATAGAGCTCATGGAATGTAATTTGAAAGCAAGACTTTGGAAGAGTTTTTGTGTGCAGTGCTGGATATGTTCCCAAGACTTGGTGGAAAAGAATATGTCATTACATTTGCAACAACATAGATGTGAATCTAAATTCAGTTCTCTTTTGTCAATCAAGACAAAATCTACAAATTGCCTGAATCCATAGACATACCTGCAAATTGCAGTCCTGCAAAAAAAAAAAAGTCCCACTTTTTGACAAAATCATGAATGAGAAGCAGAAGCAAAGATGCCATTGAATTTTATGTTCACAGTTGGGATTGATTTTACCTTTTATATATTTTTCTGAATAAATTGAATTTAATTGTTCAATTTCTTCTGCAGTATTGATACGATTCAACTTCTTGTTCAAAAATTAGACTTCTACATCTTCAAATGTAATATTTTTGTAGAGGTTATGAACATTAATCCAACATTTCCTAGGAATGTGAAGCATAGAAAAGGTTGGGAATCACTGATATAGAGGATGAGGTTGTAGAGCTTTAATTGACAGGCAAGAAACAACAGTATCATGATAAAACCGAGTTGCTTCATTGTTTCAAGTATGAAGATGAAGTTGAGAAAGAACTATGTCAAAGAAGCAGCTCAACTTGAAAAACCTAACACAATGACTGATTCCAAATGTGTTTGGACTTCTAGAAATATGATGACAATATGGTTTATGTAATGAAGATCAAGGAATATTTTAACACCATTCATGGCAAAGTTCAAAGATTCAAACAAAAGAAACAAAGCTTCCCATTACAATGTTCCTGAAAAGACAACTTCTACATTAACATCTAAAACTCCTCATCCCCCTCAAAACAGAAATCTCAGCATCAGCCAACCCTATTTCTTGCCACTCACTGAGACCCTATTACTGACGAGTAATGAATTCTGTGGTGAATACCCTGATGCATGCCTTGTTCTTAATTACAGTAAAGTATGTAATATAATTTTGATACAGTGTTTCCATAAATATGGCTCAAAATGTTACTCATTATTCTAAATCACACTAAAGTCATTTAAAATAGATTTAAATATCTTTTGGATAATTCTAAATAGCTGCCCAAGTGTTTAGATCTAGGGATATTGGGACAAGAGTACAAATTTTCAGAGAATTTAAAGTTTTGCATGTTCACACATAACCTCTACAAATATGGAGACCCAATGCACACTTCCTGTGTGCTGCACAGACTAGCAATTTAGTATTAGCCAGTCCTTATTTCAATGAAAAAGCTCCATTTTTTAAAGAATCCTTAAATCTATTTTTCATGTAAAAAGCTGAAAAAACGTATGAGCAGATATTATAGGCATGTAAAGTACTTAAGAAAAAAGCAATAGCACCAGTTTACCTGAAACACTGAGGTAGAGGGAGGGAGAGAGAGCAGATTCAGAGTTGATAGGAATGACATCATAAAGATGAAAGGCAATGGAACAGACTTCTTCCACAGTAGAGAAGTACACAGCTATTTAAGTTTCAAAGTAAATTTGAATGAGATTTAAGAACTAGTGGCACTAAAACTGTCCTAATATATTTATGCCTTCCATGAAGTGCCATAAAATATTAAGTTGTAACCATTTCTTTTTGCAATTGCAACATTAACCAGCCATTTGTAACTCTTAGAAGTAGACTACTGTGAAGAGATGTATAGATTATAGAAAGGCACATCAAAATCAGCACCCTATTTTGCTCAAAGAGGTAACTGAGTTTCATCTTTGTTGCTGAAACCAGAAAAGAGCCATAAAAACATTTCAAGATATTTGTTAATGTTGTACTATAAAAATTACTTGATTAAAACTTTTATATGTCTCTAAGTTTGTTTATGGGAGACTGCCTGTAAATTCCTTGAAGACAAAATTTTGCCTTCCATTAGGTTGGAAACTAAAGCAGGTAAAGATTACTTCTCCTGGAAAAGGAGGACATTAGAGTAGAAGAAGACATAAGTTGTATGAAAAATTAGATCTGTAAAAAAATGCAAAAATATTAAGAGAAATCATGCAGAAGTAGTTCTTGTGTCCATTTCAAAAGTAACATAAAAACGTACCAATTCCATTAGAATATCCAAGTATTTCCAGTTTTTCCATATAACAATTGACAAATTGCCTAAAGATGTAACATGAATGTTTGTTTTTCCCCCTTTTCCTAAATATATAATGAACTATTTGGCCATTTATAAGCAGAATTATCATCATATTTTAACATGCAACATTGCTCTCATTTCTGTATGATTAAATAGACTATTTACACACAGTTCATATATAATCTCTTTCTCTCTGTATGCATATGCATTGGTCTTAGCCTAGGCATCAAAGGCCACATATGAGTTCTCTGGGTCAATTTTCTTCAAGCAATTCCAGTTTGAACTTTTGTTAAGCTTCGGATAGGTTGTAATCTTCTCAGTTCTTCCGAATGTCAGCATAGACTACAGACTCTGATTTGTTGATTTTGTCACTGTAATGCCCTCCAGAGTGATCTAACTGTGCATAAATTACTGGTCCCTAAAAACAGAAAAAATAAACATGGTATAAATATTTAATTATTCTATAAGCAGCTAATGAAAACTCAGAATCACATGCAGATGAAAACAAGGGATTTGATTTCCTCTTTTTGAAATCCAATCTTAGAAATCATACCAATTCTGTAGATTATTCCTGTAACCATCGATCTGTTGACATAAACGAATATAAAATTCACATCAAATGGCTTATAGCTCTCTGGCTTCCATGCCTCAGGGATATAAGATCATTTGTAGTTTATGTGGCAACATAGTCAAAGACAGTGCAGAGAATGAACTCTTCTTCAAAAGTACATCAAGCAATCACAGCCCTGCTAACAGCTAATTCACAAAATTCCACTTTTCCACACACTTACCATCACAGATTACATTTATTTCTATAGGTGGCAGTAATTTAAGAAAAGGAAGCAAATGGAATACCAACAAGAAAGGAGAAAGTAACTGAAGAATAATTCCTAGGCATTTATTTTTTACAACTCTGTCAATCTTTCTTGACAACATTTGGAGTACAAAATTATATTCATTATAGTAACTTTGTCCCATATTTTTCAGAATAGGTCTCCTCAAACCTTTAAGTAATAATGTATAGCTTCATTGTAACTATTAGAGTTATTGAATAATTCATGTATCTGCTTTCTGTACAGAAAAAAAGGACTTAACAGTCCAGTTCTTTCGGATATAAGTCAAAGGGTTTTGTTTAATGGATTGACAATGCAGATAAGGAAGCATTTTATAAGGAGAAAAATAATTGGAAAAAATCAATAAGGTCTATGTTAACTGCAAACAAGCAGGAAAAAAGAGGAAGAATTTGTTTTTCCCTAATATGCAGCTGTCATCTTAAAAAGAAATTGCATCTTTTTTTATTTAATATGCTTTTTCTAACTACTACATATAACTATTTTCTAGCAAGGAGAGTTGATCAGAGAAACATCATAGTCTCTTGCAGGAATTTCCAACTGTAATCAATTATATAAATAGTAATTTGCTGCAAAAAGTACTAATCTGCAATCATTTTATGTTAATTATTTGAATTTCATTTAAATAAATTATTTGAATTTATGTCAATCCTTGGAAAGGGCAATCACATTGTCAGGTCCCCAAATCCTTATTGTTTTCCCATGCCTTATGCCTCTTGTTTGGGGCCTGCCATTCTGCTGGGGGGGGGGGGAATTTGCTTTCGCTTGGGATGACTTTTGCTCTCTGCTTTTCTCTCTCCCGCCTCTATCCACTTGAGAAGAGAATGTGTCTCTCTTATCAGGGAGATAGTTACAGAGAAACAAAACTGGAGAAGACCCTGAGATGCGCACCAACTGTGCCAGTTACCCAAACATCATGCCACCTGTGGATTGGCTGGATTTCAAATGGACACTATGACTGTGGTGGGAAGAGAAAGATTGCTTGTTTAATTATACAATTTAAGCAGGATTTTCCACAGATCTCACCTTGACTTTCCTGTCACTAACCCCTAATAAAAGTTCCTTTTGAGACGATGCCTGTTTCAAGAATTCTGTTTTCTTGTGTGGTTAGCTGAGGTAGGTCCTTACACACATTTTAATCACTTTTAATCATATCTTAGTTTACACAACTAGTAAATATTGCCACATAAATCTCTAGAAAAAAAGCATAAGCATGGAGAAGTATGCAAGAATAATTGTATTTCAGAAAAAAAAAAGAAGAATATACAGTACACGTTGCCAGAAAAGTTTCTAGCAGAAATCACGGGAAAAAGATTTTAGCATTCAGAAGCACTGTCTGAAGTGCTATGTAACTGAGATATTGTCTTCTAATTTATTCATTGTACATATAGGAACCCAGATAACCAATCGGGTCAGTATTAGACCTAGAAAGTAGAGAACATAGTTAATTATCACGTTCAAAATGATCAAGCATTCTACAGATGAACAAAGGAAAAGGAGAATACTATACACCAGCCAAACATGCACAATTGTGAGAAATTATGGTTCAGATGAATTTATTGATGAGGACAAGAAGGCAAACCTGATGAGTCTAGCTGAAGATGGAATGAATCTATGAAGGCTGTTTTCAGACATGCCATCTGAACTCCAACCTGGGCAACAAGTTTCTGCTTTCAGAACAAGCAATGTTAATCAACTTTAGGACTAAATATTTAGGAAGTAAACAGGCGACTAGGATAGGTAATGCACAAGCTGTTACTTTAAAGGTACAGTATTAAGCTGGTGATTTTTTTTAAATTTCCCCCTGCCTTCGTGTGTGTGTGTGTGTGTGTGTGTGTGTGTGTGTGTGTGTGTGTATAAACCCCTCCTTATTCTAACAGCAGCAATACAAATCTCTACAGAAAGGCACATTCTGGTGCACATGAAAATTATTGCCTGAAAATAATTATAAAATAACAGTATCCCAATTCTAAATTTGATGTGTTTTAATTCATTGCACAGAACTACTGGTAGCATTTTAAGTATAGAAAAAAAGATAGAAACCAAAGGATAAATGCTACATATTCTAATATACTTTTAAGGGCTCCAAAAGAAAGCACTTCTGATTCTAAATTTCCCAAACAAATCAACGGTACCCTGATACACTAACTGGGCATGAGAATCTGTACTGATATTAGGAAAAAATAGTTTCTTTTGATTTAATTCATTGCAGCTGCTTTTATGTCTCTATTAAAATAACATAAAAGTAGTCTGTAGAATAGGGATTCCATATGGGCTGCAGAAATCCAGCGAATATCAAGTTTGCAACAATTTAATAAATCATTAACTGTAGGTTGCCACACAATGTCTGTCTGAGTAGATATGACAATTCTATTGTAACATGCCTGGCTGAATGCATTTTCATATTCATACAATGTTCTCAGAGATATGATGTGTTCAAGTGCAAGCCATCACTGGGAAATAAACACAAAGAAACACACACTGTTTGTGAACTGTGTTAGAAACAATCTCTAACAGGGTTCAAACTCCTGTATTTTTAACTGAATTCCATAACACAAATGTAATCATTTTATCATAATCTTTCTCTAAACAAATGGGCAATATAGTATATAGCAGTACTGGTGTAACTACCAATTACTTATATAGTATATTAGTGATACACTACTACATGTGCAACCTACTTTTACTTCTACTAATTCACTACTGTAACTACTATTACAACTACTAGGTAAAAGGTAAAAGTTTGCCCTGACTGTAGGGGGTGGTGCTCCTCCGCGTTTCTTAGCTGAGAGACTCAGCCTTGTCCAAAGATATTTCCGTAGTCATGTGGCCAGCAAGACTACATGCCAAATACACACAGAATGCTGTTACCTTCCCACCAAAGTGGTATCTATTTATCTACTCACATTTGAATGCTTTCAAAGTACTAAGTTGGCAGGAGCTGGGCCAAATAACGGGACCTCATCTCATCACATAGTACTTGGGTCTTGAACACAAGTGTCTTAACTGCTAGGCCTCTGTGCCTCCTTTACTATTATAACTATATTATAAAATTCAAAGAATAGCCTCCAAAACCAAGTCAACTTCATCCATCAGTTATTAACTATTTGCCAGGCAGCAAAGCAAACCAACATTTTCATCAATATCATTAATCATTTTAAGGAGTTCATAATCCAGGTCTATATTTAACTACTCACTCATCTGGTATTCATAATTGACAAGAAACTCCATGTTGTCAAATGGCTGACACCATTCCTTCAGAACTCAGCATACAAAGACTACCATTTCTTTCCTTTCCCACTGCACTCTAGCAATTAATAAAACAAATATTGCCAGCTAATTTCTGGACTTACAATCAAGAGTACTAATAGTCAACTGCAACCACTGAAAATATCATGTGGAACTGTGTAAGTTAGTTAGAAAATAGCTAAATTTGCATTATAACATCAAATTATCAAATAAGTAATCTCTCTCTCTCTCTCTCTCTCTCTCTCTCTCTCTCTCTGTGTGTGTGTGTGTGTATGTTAAATTTGGATTGCTAACAAAGAGTTAAAGGGAGACTGGTATAGCTATTTCAAGCTACTTAGCTCTCATCAGCCAGAATCCTGGGTACATTCATGTTGAGAAAAATAGTCGAACAACTGTTAAATAACTGTTTAATAAACTTAGCTTTCGTCGGCTAACTGCCGATGTCGTGAGAGTAGAATGCCAGAGGTTTGAAAGCCTGCTTATAAGACCAGCTGCTTTTGCGCTCTGCTCATGAAATGCGTAACCGGTCTACCCACCACAGATGGTCATATTGCTTCTAACTGTCTCACATCCGTCTGTGTATTTATAAGTACAGGGGCTATTGCCTCTCTCATCACTCTCTTTGCTTGCTTTAGTCGTGTCTGAATACACATTGCTGTGGGGTGGTCTCCCAGTGCCTCCTGTCCTCTCTCTCTCTCTCTCTCTCTCTCTCTCTCTCTCTGTGTGTGTGTGTGTGTGTGTGTGTGCATGTGTGTGTATATGTTTCTCATTTTTCCAAAGAGAATTTCATAATTGTTTTGTGCTCTCTGATGAGATTTTATTCCTTACTTAAGCATCTCAAACCACATCATAAAGTCTATGACTTTCTATTAAGATAGGTAACTTTGAACAGATTTTTAAAAGTACAATCTTTTCTAATCAATACAATTTCTATTATTTCTTTCCATCCAAGAAAAATGATTCACTGTAGAAAAAAAAGAGACCTAGTATTTATTTCCCCTTTTCAAGTCAGCCTTATTACCTTGGACCTTACTTTGGACCTGATTCCAAAGTCCCTCAGTCTCTTTGGATGTAATACTCTTAAGTAATATTTAGTGGTGGCCCAAGACTGAAGGCAAATAATAATAATAATGCCTACAATTCAATATGAATCTAAAACATTAAATATTTAATATTCCCAAAGGCATATAATTACAGCTGAAAGAAATTGAGACACTACTGTGGAAGAGCTATTTACTCAATCCTCTATAAATCAAATCTCTAGAACTGAAGACCTACATGAAGGTGTTGTTGTTGTTGTTAATTGCGAAGTCGTGTCCGACCCATCGCGACCCCATGAACAACATTCCTCCAGGTCTTCCTGTCCTCTACCATCTTCTGGAGTCCATTTAAATTCACACCTACTGCTTCAGTGACTCCATCCAGCCATCTCATTCTCTGTCGTCCCCTTCTTCTATTGCCCTCAATCTTTCCCAGCATTAGGCCCTTCTCCAGTGAGTCCTTCCTTCTCATTAGGTGGCCAAAGTATTTGAGTTTCAACTTCAGGATCTGGCCTTCTAAAGAGCAGTCGGGGTTGATCTCTTCTAGGACTGACCGGTTTGAATGCCTTGCAGTCCAAGGGACTCGCAGGAGTCTTCTCCAGGCCATAGGATTTATCTCACTACAGAAAGTTATCATTTATTAAGATTAGTCACCCTAATTTTGCCAAAGATAGCAAGTATATCACAAAAATAATAGCCAAAAGATAGCTACATTCCTCACCATAGGGTCCAGTACAGCAAGGCTTTATCCAGATATTTTTCCATGTATGTGTTTCAGTGATGAGCCGTCTTTTCCTCCCTTAGCAAAAATACCACCTTTCCAGCCACTAGATAATCTCTGAGTCAGAGTATGACACCATTTACCTGATGAGATCGGATGGGCACGCTGTTTACCAAAACCTCTGTGTCGGAGGGGGACTTCCGTGGAGCCTGCTTAACTGGAGACATCAAGCTCTCAGAGGTACTGCAGCTGATGAGGTGGCAAGCAGATTTTGCAGAATAACATTCAAGAAGTAAATAAAAGACAAAACAAAAACAAAGGCAAGTGATGGCAAGATGAGGTGGCATTAGGCCAAATAGAGTGACCTCAGTGAATGTCAGACAACACATACATCCTTGCTTTATACTTGCTCAGGTTAGTCATGCCTATATTTTCTCCCCTCACATACAAAGAAGAAAGTCATTCTAGCTCCAGGTTAAGTAAAAAAACTCATAACCACATAAAGGATTAACTTCCCCTGCCATCTTCATCTAATATGATTTGATTTAGAGTTTATTAGATTTAAAAGCCATCCAACCCCTTTATGACTCTCCTACCACTCACTCTAGCCCTGGTCCTGGGAAAAAACCTAGATTGTAAGCACTAATCTAAATCAGTGGTTCTTAACCTGGGCAATATCACCCCCCAGGGGGCGATTTTGTTTTTCAGGGGGGCGATGGAACAAAAAGGGGCAATGTAGGCGAAGGAATGAAAAGGGGGCGATATGGGGGCGATGGAGCGAGAAGTTTTGGGGACACTTTTGAGACTTTTTTGTACAGTGAATGGCTGTATATCTGTCATACAAAAACATCAGATTGCTCGCTATTAGTGGATTGAATTGTGTTTTTAAATGTTCCTCCAGCTAGCTTCAGTACAGAACGCTGTTCATATGTGAATACGCATCGCTTATCTTCATGTGTGTTGCGCAGCAGCCTCTACCCATACAGTGGCGCGCCATTAGCCAGAATATGGGAGATATGGGGAAAAGACTGGAAATAAATTATTTGCATCGATATGTCCTATGACAATTTTAAAGAAAACAAGAAAAGTGTTTGCATAAATTGAATAATAATAATAATAATAATAATAATAATAATAATAATAATAATAATAATAATAAAGTTGGAAGGGACCTTGGAGGTCATCTAATCCAACCTCCTGCTCAGGCAGGAAATCCTACACCATTTCGGACAAATGGCTGTCCAGTCTCTTCTTAAAAACTTCCGGTGTTGGAGCATTTACTGCTTCTGGAGCCAGGTTGTTCCACTGATTAATTGTTCTCACTGTCAGGAAGTTTCTCCTTATTCTAGGTTGCTTCTCTCTTTGATTAGTTTCCACCTGTTGCTTCTTGTCCTGCCTTCAGGTGCTTTGGAAAATAGCTTGATTCCCTCTTCTTTATGGCAGCCCCTGAGATATTGGAATACTGCTATCATGTCCCACCTTGTCCTTCTCTTCGTTAAACTAGACATATCCAATTCTAGCAACTGTTCCTTATATGTTTTAACCTCCAGTACCCTAATCATCTTTGTTGCTCTTCTCTGTACTCTTTCTAGATTCTCAACATCTTTTTTACATCGTGGTGACCAAAACTGGATGCAGTATTCCAAGTGTGACTTTATCAAGGCTTTGTAGAGTGGTATTAATACTTCACGTGATCTTGATTCTATCCCTCTGTTAATGCAGCCTAGCACTGTGTTATTATTTCCTGTGTTATTATTTCCTATGTTGTGATTGAGAGGTTATGCTGGGGGAGGGAGTGATGAAAACTTTCTCATTGGCTCAAGGGGGCAATTCATTCAAAAAGGTTAAGAACCACTGATCTAAATAATATCAGGGTAGGGCAACAAGGGATTTCATCTCTGGAGAAAAGGTGCTACTGCTGGATAAACAACTTCCAGCATCTCCTGAACTGACCATTCTTAAACAATGGAACCCAGGCCTGCCAACTCTGTCAGATCATATAGAATTGACAGTACTACATCACCTGGAAGTGACTTTTCTATATAAAAATTTGCTGCTAGGAGCTTTGGTTCTAAAAATAGGAATAGTAATTAACCCTTTCCCAATATATCAGCTTTTCATAAGATTTCCAAATGTTTTGGTCAATAGCTGCTGATGGGAACTGTACCCCAAAGTATCTGTAGTTATCATATTGGGGAAATCTAATCTAGTTTGATTTTCTTCCTACGTAGCATACAGAGTGATGCTTAAAAAATTGAGAACCCTTCTGAATTTTCAATATTTCTACATCTATGACCTAAAACATTATTTTTCTCCATACATTGCCTAAAACTAGATAAAGAGAACCCAATTAAGCAAATGGATCAAAAATGTTTTCTTTGTTCTTTTTTCACTGAAGAAAATAATTCCAAGCTACTTATTTCATGGAAAAGGTATACGAATCTTTCAGTAACTAGTGTGCCCCCCTTGGAAAGCAATAATTGCAACTAAAAGTTTCTTGAGACTTTTAAGCAGTCCTGCGTATCAGTTTGGAGGACTTTTAGTCCATTTTTCCATATATAGAAATTCTTACATAAGCAACTTTTCCACTGTTTCATTTCCAATTATGTAGCTTCCCATTCCTTGCATCAGCTGCCTGTTTTAGGTTCATCCTCAACATTTCTATAGAATTAAGGACAGGACTTTGACCTGGTCATTTTAAACATTAACTTGGTCCTGCTTTAAACATTCTTTAGTGGTATAACTATGCATTTGGGTTGTTGTCTTGCTGCCTGATCCACTTTCTCTTGAGCTACAGTTCACAGATACCCTGACCTTTTCCTATAGAATTTGCTGCTAGAATTCAAAATTCATAGTTCCATCAATGATGGCAAGCAAATCATGCTGGTTTAGAAGTAGAAAAACAGGCTCAAACCATGATATTGCTACTGCCATGTTTCTCAGATGGGATAAGGCTTTTTTGGATAGATTGCAGTGTTTGCCTTCATTCAAGCCAAAACATTCTATTCTGGTCTCATCCATCCACAGAACATTCTTCCAATAGCTGTCTTCCTTATTTACATGGTCTTCTGCAAACTGTAAATGAGCAGCAATGTTCTTTTGGGAAAATAATGACTTTCCTTCCTTCCTTCTTTCCTTCCTTCCTTCCTTCCTTCCTAAAATGTATTTGCCACCCATCTTGTATTCAACAACTCTACATTTCTTCTTGCAATCTTGCCATTGTTCAGTAATCTGCTAATAGTGTTCTCATGAACACTGACATATGCTAATTTAAGCGAGGTCTTAAGTTCCTCAGACATTACCCTGGGCTTCTTTGAGCCCTCTCAGAGCATTACACATCTTGCTCTTGGTATAATCTTGATTTGTTGACTAGTCCTGGGGAAGGCAAAAATGGTGTTCAGTTGTTTCCGTTTGTACACAATCTGCCTTACAGTGGACTGATGGAATCCAAACTCGTTGAAAATAGATTTACAACCTTTTCCAGTCTGGTGAGCATCAACAACTATTTTGTTGGAGGTCCTCAGAAACCTTGTTCAAGCAAAGGCACACTATCACATGCCTGTGTTGCGAAGATCAGACTTTGATTGTGATTATCAAGAATTCTATTCTTTAAATAAGGAGAGGCCCCTACACATGTACGTCTGATTATCATTCCATTCACTGAAATATCTAACTCTAATTTCTCCATTCAAATGAACAGATAATCATGGAAGTTCAGCAACTTCTGCTATACTCAAATATGTAGCTTTTGTCATTTTCGTCAATGAATAAATGAACAAATATGTCTTTGACTCATTTGTTTAATTGAGTTCTCTTTATTTAGTTTTAGGACTTATGTAGAAAACAAATCATGTTTTAGGTCATATTGATGCCAAATATTGAAAATTTTAAAAAGTTCAAAACTTTTAAGCATCACTTAAAAGCATATGCAAGTGTGATCATGGCAAGATGACAATGAGATTAAGCAGAAAGCAGCCCTCCACTAATCAATTTTGTTATCAAATATAAATACTGAACATTCAAAAGGCAGACATGAAATATGAAGCAATACACAGAAACACAATACTGAGAAACATACTTAAGTACTAGTAAATGGGCTTCATTCTTATTAAGACTAAACCCCAGCACACAACGATCAAAGGACAAATAAGCATTTGCAATCTATTCTAAGAGAATGTGCAACTCGGCACTGAACCAATTAATAATACTGAATTCACAGTTTGTGCATAAAATATTTTTAGGTGTATTTTTTTTACTGACAGCAACCTTATTTTTTCTCATAGTATAAAAAGTCCAAATATTCCATTCATTCATGCATCTGAATTAGCTGCTTCTGAAGGTACATAGCCTTGTTGCCAAAACTGAAGAAATGAGACAACAAAATTCAGACAATAGATGAGATATGCTGCCCCTTCATCAACAGTCCACAAAACAGAAATTCAGCATAAGTGTTGGAAGTATGTTAGCAGGATAGTAAGCAAGGGAGGCAGAAATTATATACATATGGACATGAAGTACCAAAGAACTACTGGCATGTTTTGTTACCATGATATATAGTGGGACTGGAAGAGATGACCCAGCCCTGTTACATTCCCAGTCTTGCATCTATATCAGGATCTCTGTAAGGAAAGGAAGATAAAAAGCAGGATCCAATCCCAGCATACCAAAGTAGTAATAGGGAAAAAAAATTCAAAGAAAGAATAGACATTGTGATATTGCCATGCAAGAATTTCCACCACCACCCATCTCAATCAGTTACAGCTCTGTTAGTTTATTTAGAAATTAGTTATCATATATTATATACACACAAATGTGTGTATACACACACACACACGTTCTTATTTGTAATTACTAGAATAGACATCCCACCACTTAGTAACCATCAGAAACACAGTATAGTCAATGAAATCAATGTTAATGTTTGGTACTTAGAGACAACCACAAAAGAACAATAATTTTAAACAAAGATAGTCCCAAACCTTTAGAGATAATGTACTTGATGAAAAAAAATATTATTCATATTAAGACTTGGCATCCTTGGATGCAGATCAGTATTCAAGTGTTATGGAAACAGTTACATGCACGAGGGAAATTAAGCTTGCCACACTGAACCAGAGCTTATACAGCCAATTCACTGCACTCATTCAACCTTACCACTGACATCTACTGCAGCACTTTCTAAATTCTGAAAGGTTACAAAAAAGATGCCAATTACGTACACCCAGTACAAATCGAGTTTTTAGCACTTTATGAATAATATTTACTGGATCTACAAAAACAAGAAGTCAGGCCATGAAATGATTGATCCTGAAAGAATTGCTATGTCCAATTTTCTATGCACAGAACTGCATTTCTGCTGGAATTAAGTGATAAAGCAAAGTAAGTGCCACCACCAGTACAAAGGAGCCCATCAACCAATTTTTCATGGCATATAATCCACTTTGAAGATATTGTTTAATAGAAGTTCCTCAAAGCCAAATTACAGGGGGCATCATGAGCGCAACAGGAACAAAAAGAAGTCATGCATGTGATAAAGCCAGTGAAAATAGCAGAAGGGCAGTTTTCCCAAAACCAAGATTGGAAAGCTATGGAAAGCGGACTGTTGTAAAAGGAACTGGCAGTCATACCCCCAATCTTAGAAAAAAAGTTGTGCCATCCAGAATGTAACCTGATAGGGACACAGCCTCCTTCATTCTGAGAGTTGCAAGGGAGTAGTTTTAGACTACTTTCAAGGACACTAAGCTTAATGGACCTATGCTCACAAAGAGGAGCAACATATGAATATATGTACACCATGAAGTTGATAATTTATAAGCACAGAAGGATGTGGTTTCTAGCTGTACCAGTAATTTAATATAAATGCATAATTCATGTTTCAAACTGTTCATGTTCCTCTACCCCCACCCTCGCATATTTAAAGAAACAACAAATATAGTGCCTTACCCAGAATAATGCTTTTTGGAATTCTTCTTTCTGATCATAACGCACACAATAAGCATGATGATGAAAATTAAAACTAGAATGCCAGCACCAGTTACCCCTAACACAAGGGGAAGAGGAAATACAGTCAAGTTACCTGAAGAGAAAAAAAACCACTTTCATTTCAGTTATCTTATACCTTGTTAAAACTGATCACACATTATTCCATTAGAATTTTTAATTCAGTTGTGGATGCATCTATATTATCAATATGCTTTTTTATACTTTTTACTTATTAAACATGAAGTGAAACCCATGCCTCTTGCCTTTTATGTTTTTTAAAAAAAACCTAACAGCCAACTAAGATTCAGTTTGTAATCAATACCTTACACAAGCATTATTACCAAATGTCCCTAACTGTACTCTTGTGCATTTGATTTGTTTTTTAAAAAGAACTTTATATTTGTCTCTTTTCATATTTAATTCTCTTAGCATATTTCTCTCACCCATCATGGTAATTTTGAATTTTATTTTTACCTTCTAAAATATCCTTCTTTATTTTCTATCACCTGCAATTTAATAAGCATTCACTCCATCTCTTCATCCAAGCCATTAATAAGAACTTGAACTGTTCAGGGCCCAAGACTATATAGTGGTTTACTCCAATTGATGTTTATTCCACTCTGAGGAGGAACTTTTGACAGTATTCTCCAAGTTGACAGTATTCTCCAAGTATGATTTTCAACTACATATATGCTTAATTGTAATGACATTCATACACTAGCTTGCTCATCAGAATGCCAAAGTACTTTGTAAAATATTTTACTAACATAAAATTATGTTTTATTGTAGCATTTCTGTCATTTACTAAAAAAAGTTATGAATCAAACAAACCTTATTTCAGATTAAGGAATAATTAAAAATTATTCCTTAATCTGGAATAAGATCAATTTGGCAAACTTTCCTGACAAATTCATGTTACTATCCATGTGGCCTTCTGACAATTACCAGACCAATCTTATACCACTTAGAAAACAATCTGTTCAGGTGTGACAACTCCCCTAGATGCTTCCCCAGATGCTAGTTTGGAATTCTGAGCCAGTCTCAGGCACCTCAGGAAGGGATACAGCCGAAGGCTATAAGCCAAGAGCGAAGGGACTGAGCACAGGGAGCAACCAGACAAGTAGCCGGCTGAGCTAGAGACAGTAGAGGCACAGCTGAAGCTGGGAAGCCCAGAGACTTCGAATGGAGAGGGCATACAGCTGCAGCTGGTCAGTGGAGATGAAGAAGACCTGGCTCCTCCTCCTCCAGATTCAAGAGCACGTAGGGCTGAGAGGAGGCAGGCACAAAGATCATCAGCAAAGAGGCAGCCTCGTCCCTCTTGAGGGGTACACCAGAAAGCAGTTATTTAGTTCAGTAAGTTGAGTGAAACAATGCTGGGAACATGTCCATTCCTTGCTCTGTGTTCTTGCCTGGAACGTCGGATTGTGCCTCTTTAACTGTGGAATTGCCTTTGCCTTCACAGCTTGCCTTTGCCTTGTGGCCTTGCTTTTGCCCTGTGGATTTACCTTTGCCTTAGCCTTGTGGACTCATCTTTGCCTTGTGGACTTGCCTTGTCCTGTGGACTTGTTTTGCCTTGTTGCCTTGGCACATGCCTTTGCCTTGGGGACTTGCCTTTGCCTTGTGGACTAGTGCTGGCTTCTTTTGAGTAGCCTGCTGAGCTCATTGTGGGTGAGCTGGTGCTGGCATACAGAATTGCTGGGGAATACTAATTCAGGCTTGGAAGCCTTAATAAAGACTCCTAACACCATGATGAGTGTGTGTATGTCAGTGGGACAGCACATTAGGACGTGCTCTAGACTTCCCATTTTTCTTAATGTCAGAATGATTTGTCTATATTCCCATTTTGAGATAGAGTATTTGTTTTCCCAGCAGCTAGCACCTCGTCGATTGTCCAGAATTTCTTAAGAATACTGTAAGGTTTGGCCATCGGAAGATATTCCTTCAATGCCCCGAGTGCAGTTCATTTGGTCTTGGGAAGTTATAGATATTTCCTATCATTCATGAGCTCAGTCCTATCTTTTTCATTCTTTAAATTTATTAAAATCCACTTTTTAAAGTCCAAGATATATTTGAATAGGCTCATCATTTTATTACTGTGTTTCTTACTTATCAATTTGTATCAAGTTAAGGATGTCTGATCCTTTTCTGCCTTCTTTCATTATCTGAAATAAATCTAAATGCTATCACAACATCCCACTATTGTCTCTCAGAACTGCTAAAACGTCATTACTTTTTGTTTCTGAACATTATTTACACAGAAAATTATTTTAATATTGCTCCATAATGGAATTCTTTTCTCAAAAGTGCTTGCAGTCATGGCTGATGGTGGAAACAGCAACCCAACTTATATGGAAGACACCAAATGGGGAAGAGACTATACTAGAGAATGTGTAACTTCTGAAGGGAGGGTTTAGTGGGGCTTTTATCAGAAAAGAGTATATTTTATATTTTATTATTCACTGGCTCTTTAAATAGACAAAATAAGTGTCTCAAGTTTGCAGGAAAACAATTACTTCTTGTAATAGAATGTTTAGACTTACTCCTTAGGAATGAAATTAGTCCTTAGTAATAATTTTCAAACCGACAGCTTGCTAGCCCCCTTGCTAGTTAATCTGATTTTGGCAGATAGCTAGATATATCACGGAAACAATTTTAGGTATATCAGAGAACAGCATGAGTCAATACGAATGTCATATTCCTCAGAGTTGAAAATATATATTTTTATGAAGATGTTTTTGCTATATAACACAAACATTACTTTAGGACTTTCCACATAAAGAATCTCTCACTCCATCCAGTGGACTCTTCTTTCAGATAAAAGAGTTATTAGATCAGTGGTATTAAAACAGTTTAACAAATAAAATAATTGATAAGTATTACATCAAACAAACTCAGTCTTATCAATACGTTACTAAAGACCTTGTTTTTATGGCCATAGTTAAAAGGTTGGCTGCTGTTGCTCTAATTTTAAATTTTTTCTAGGTAAAATGTTAACATCTTCAAACATACCTTTTACTGGTCTTGATTTTAAAATACACCAGATAAATATACTATCAAAAATTCTTTAAAAAACCAGTATAATAGTCAATACTATTACATGACAAAATATTTGACAAATCTTTTGGAATCTTTTGACATCTACTACATAGCACATTTGATGGCAACATATTTAATCTAGCTTTTGAAAAGACCATTTTGTACTTCTTTAAATGTAAATTATTAAGCTACATTGGGAGCTGAAAGTGTATTTGTAATTCATTCAAAAAATCACAGATGAACACAGAACTTTGGCTTTTGCCATTAACTCATTCTAAGTTATTCCATGACCTTTATTACAGTAAAATGCTGGTGAAATTTCTACTCCACTGTTCAGAATAAAATAATGGAATAAAATGCAGGAGAATAGCCAAACAAATACTTGCTTCAGTGCATTGTTACATACAGTAATTTTAGAGAAAGAATGCACCTTACGCACAACTTCTCCATCACTCATTAATTAATTTTTCATTCCATCCACTTATTACTATACCTTTCTCCATAACCCTGACTTTGATTTTTCCTGGTGTAACAACTATATCTGGAGGGTTTTTAACATCACAGATATACGTTCCATTGTCCTGAAATTGCATGTTTGCTATAGTGATTGATGCATCTTTTCTGTTAAGGTCTCCAGCCCAGCTGCTTCTGTCATCAAATTGTGTACTCTTCCCAGGATATGCTTTTCCATTGGAATAATAGAAGAACTATAATCAAAAACACAAAAAATATGCTGTATTAAAAACCTGCTTTCCCCTATTTCTTAACTAATCTAACTTTCTTTAAAACTCAACTCATAAAATACATGAATTTCAAACAGTGCAAGATTGACAATGATAATACTCTACTTGAGAGCCTGTAAAGCTGGTTTTAAACCAGTTGAAAGGTCAGAGAAATATTTTACACATAGTATCACAAGAATTTTAAAAGTTTCAGAGTAATTTCAGGAGCTCAGGTATCTTGCTCTGCCTCACTTTCCTCAATTCTGTCCCCCCCCCAAACTACTGAACTGATAAATATTACAATTACATGATGTCCTTCTGGTATTAATTTTTTATTTTCCCATCATATTAAGATAAAAGATAACTAAACAAGCAGGTGAAGTGGATTAAAGCATTTCCTCATCTAAGCAAGGCTTTTGGTGACAACCAATTTGGAGCAAAATACAATTAATATCTTAACCAACATTTCAAGGGAACAATCAGGCTTTTAGTAGTGCAAGGAGTAAGCAAGAACAGCAGGGCTTTTTACTTCTTATAATTTTCTTTTGCAAACAATATCTTACCGAGACAAGAGATGACGATCCCTCGCCTTGGAAACTCCAGGCAACAGAAGCTAAACTGCTGATCACTTCTGTGGAAGTAAAAGTGCATGGAAGCTTTGCTTCAGTCCCATTCTCCACAAGAAAGTCTTGCGGCGTGTATACCTCCACAGCTGAAACCTGGACTATCAAAAACATCATTACAAGAATCAGAATACCAGATCCTTCATAAATATTAACACTATATCAAACATAGGTATGAAGAGTTTAACCAGCCAAACAAAGATTGAAGAATCTATTAAATCAAAGAGATTGAGTAAAAAAAATCCATTTCCGTTCACTTTATCGTATTAAGCCATCATGTTGCTGGTTAGTTTCTGATTTTGTATAAAGTACAGATGCAACATTACAATTTACTGTCATGTGCAGACCATGCTTTTTGTAGATTCTCAAGAGAAACTCAATACAATACATTATTTCAGAATTTGTCATCTTTATTATACAGACATCTAATTTCTTTCCCAGCAAGCCTAATTTACAGACAGAATACAATATTTCATTACTCCCTCTTCTGCTATCCATTTGATATAAGACTAACCACTTGCAATTGTAAATTGCAGAGTGACAAAATGTTTTTCTCTCTACTTATTATATAACTAAGTTTTTTCTAAATAAGTATGCATGCATTTAATGAAGTTGACATACAGTCCTATATAGATGCACTATCTATCCCCTGCCTACTTCTTGATTTAAAATTAATAAAGGACTTAAGATACTGATGGCTTATTTTCCCACTGTTCAATATGTTAGCAACTGTTTTTTCTCTGTCTGGTAAAACATTGAACCTCTATAATTTTTTATCACTGTTCATTGTTGCTGATTTTGAAAGTGTAAACAACTGCACATAAATAGAAAATATGCACTCAAGGACAGAGAAGGACCCTGTATTTAACTTTGCACCATGTAATGGTTCTGTTGATTTAGGGAAATATCTAATTTGACTGGGGGTACTTAATCTTTTGCATGAACTGTAAATATATCTTTCAATCTATACTTTAGTGATATGATAATTATAATATCATGGAATATTAAGTTACAGGCAATCCTTGGTTAACTACTCGTCCAATGACTGTTTGAAGATGCAATGACACTGAACAAATGGTACTTTCATCCAGGCCTCAAAGTTCTGGCCGTAGCAGCATCCCTGCTTAATGACAACAGCAGGGACTGCCAGGATTGCCTTTATGACTGTATCACTCAGAAACAAAAATGCCAATCTCAATTATCATGGTTAAGCAAGGATTACCTGTAAATCATAACAAGCACTGGAAGGAATCTTAAAATATAATTTTGCCCAGCCACCTGCTTATGGTAAGAATCCATTACGATTCCATCCTCAACAGATGGCCATCCAGCTTCTGTTTAAACACCTGTGGCAGAGAATACCATCTCCCAAGTAATTCCATACCACTGTTGAAGAACCATTATTGTTAAGATTTTCTTTTGATAATCAACCAAAATATATTTCCTTGTTAAGTAACCCCACTATTTCTGTTCTGGTTTTCTGCATGACAGCTTGACAGGTATCTGAGGACAGGCATCATGCCATACACAGACCTTTGCAAACTAATCATAGTTAATACCCTCTTCCCATTCCTTATAGCTTTTCCTTCCAGACCCCTTATCATGTTAATTGCTTTCTTCTGACCAAGCTCTATTTTGTTGATGTCCTTTCTAAAATCTGGTGCTTATTACTGGACACAATGTTCTATGTTCAATTTGATCAATACAGAAAAGAAAGAAAAAATGACTTATCTTGTTCTTGGCTACTTTATTTCTATTATTTCTAAGATTACATTTGCTATGAGGTGTGGGGCATGCATAGCTGTTGCATCGTGCTGGTAGCTCAAGTTCAGCTTGTGATGCACAAAGTCACCTAGATAACATAACACTCAAATCCTTTGAGTATCATGCTTTAAATCTGGACTGACAACATTCCAAAATCTACAAAAATAAAATTTCCACTTTTTGAACATAGGTGGAATATTTGTTCTTGTCCAATCAGCTGACCCATCAACTGTCCTTCAGAACAGGTATACAACCATGAGGTTTTTTCAAAACCTATATGCATTCAAATTGAATATTTTGTGATTGGAGAATCCTTGGTTTGCAACACTGTTGATGTTACTTAGTGAAGTAACAGAATGTCTGCAAGCAAACAATCAAGCTCAGAGAGTAACAAGAACTCCACAGTTAAGCCCTGAGCTACATATATTCTATTTTGTGACTACATTTCTATCAAACTTAGTTTAGTCCTTTCTTTTCAATCTGCTTTCATAGCTGGCTGGCAGAACAAACATTTCTAGTTAAAAATGTTGAATATGTGTCTAATGCCATTATACAATGGCAATTTCCAATATTTGCCAAATAAAAATGAATTATAATTAGTGTGATGTATGGTTCTATTCAACTGTGATTCAAAATAGACTTGATCATATTACAGTTTTCTTTCTACAATCCTTTCCTCACCAAGGCATCTTGGTTTTTTGGGAAAACCAAAAACCAAATATGAAATTTAAGAGTCACCTCGTCATCAAATTAAAAACTGTTTTCAACTGTTAAAAAAAAAAAATACTGGAGACCTCAGCGGATATGTACCAAGTTAGATTTAAATTTCTGTATGTTCAATTGTTGTGAGTTAAAGTCCTAGAAAGATCGCCAATGGCCATGGGTCATATACAAGAGATCACACTAAATATGATCCATTGGAAAAGTAAGTAGAAACCCACTCCCATGAAAGAGAGTAAATAAACATTCACTATCAGTGTAAACAGTCACTATAGATAGTGAATCCCCACCCCAGGCTAGAAGGTATCCAACAAATAGCAAATGACAACGACATGTAGTATTGGTGCTCATCATGTGGGTGGATTAAGGCACATGGCACATTGGTTTGATGTTAAAAAGGTATATAGGATTCAGAATCATAAACCAAGTATGCCTAATATTGTCACAATAGAAGTATCAATACTGAACACTGGCATTCTGTAAATCAGCACTCTGAAACAAATACAATGGTATTTTTCTTTCAAAAATTTTAGTCAGCTAGTGACATACTTAGAGATAAAGGTGAAAAAAAAATCCCATGTTCAACAAATGCAGAATGTATTTATGTGTATACCAGTATTAGAAAATCAAACAGGGAAATACATGTGAACATTTCAATGCAACATCTAGCAATCTTTGGGAAGAATCCTCCCATTTTGTCAAACCAGAGATTATAAGAATCAAAGGCTTACTCTTTCTGACTAATAAAGACTTCAATATATAGTTTCAAACTTTAGACGTGGATGTTGATAAGGAGCTACCTAAAATGCTTTGGAGTTTGTTGCTGTTTTACAAGCAATGGTATCCCATGAAATACTGTTTCTGAAATACTGAAGAAAACTTAGTAACAAAGTTAGAAACTGGCAAACAAGTTAATCCTCCTTCTCCAGAAAAATGTTGCAACATCCAAAGATACTTTTTAATGACAAATCCATAGAATCAAAACACCACACACACAACTAGAGAAAGCAATTGTTTCAGCACCCAGTCAACTTCCTCTGAAAAACAATGTAACAAAATGTTTCAATGCAACACTGAGTTTTCTGAAATTAGAGAGATAAAAAAAACAATGTTTACTCTGAAAAACTCCACCCAGGTACTGTGAAGCTTAAGAAAACAACAGATTTCAGAATCATAATTGCAGGATCTTGATATTCTAAAATGCATGTTTTATTTTTGCATGCTCTCAAGAGAGCATTTTAGTTTGAAAAAATGTCACTAAATTTTTCTAACTAGGGAACACCAATGATTAAACTAAAACAAATAGCATGTTAACATTCCAGATTAGTACATAAATTAGGCTTTAGCTTTTTTGTGAACTTCTCTATAAAAATAAGTAGGTTAACATTTGTGATCCAGTTTTTAAGAATCTGAAGTTTAAATCCCCAGAAACCATTAGCTCGCAGCCTCTTTTAAAAACTAATATATTCAGGATGAGTTGGAACAACTCATTTGGCCAGAAGAAATAAGAAAATTACAGCACACCACAGTTGAGCATCCAATTGGGAGAGCTGGCTGACATTATTCTTTTCAGATGATGAAATCATATTTTATGATTACTCTGAAGCAACACCATGATATTCCTCTTTTAACACTGTTGATGTTTCCTGACTTTCATAGTATAATTCATAATGTTCACAACTAATAGATATTACAGGATTCTGCATTAGTTCAAGGCTGTTTCAGATTTTGATCAAAAGCGCAGGCAAATCAACTTAAAATAATATTCCTGATGAAAGTAATTATCAAAACCTGCTTATAACAGGTTGGGACACAGAATCACCACTGATTATTCTAGGTCACCTGCCAATATTTACAGATTTTAATAATGCCAGAACATAGTAAAGAGCAGTGCTTTTTTTGTCATAGAACCCACTGGAATGGAGTTCTGGCACCTTTTTTTGATGGATTTTCCAAGTTTTAAAAGTAATTTTTGAAAATTTGATGTTTGGTCCATGTGGACTTGAATTGCCCTGTTGAGCGTAGCAGGTCAGCAGCAAAATCATTAAAATGGTGCATGCGGGCTGCTTGTGTGTCGAGTCCAATGCATGCGTACTTCGTCCGGCTGCTCGCCTTGTGGCATTGCTCAGCTTGTGATTGGTCGTGTGGTCACGCGCTGAGTGCTTACTGCAGGCAGCAACTGTTATGTTTCATTACCAACTGACGTGTGGGTGGGTGTACAGTGACTGACTACATGCAAAAGGTAAATAAAAGATTAACAAGATGTGAGTTCTGGCATCTTTTTTCTCACAAAAAAAGCACTGGTAAAGAGCAATACTTAATCCCATTGTTTTTTGGAGTTCACATTGCCTAAGCTTTTTAAAAGAGTCAAGGCACACTTGATATTAATCAAATTGGAATAATAAAAGTTTAGTCTAGAAAAAAATGAAATATTAGAGGCAATCAATTTTGATTATCACATTATATTCAATTAATCCAGAGAGTAATAGAAGCCTGACTCAAGCCAGGTAAATAGTTTGGACTAAAACTTCCCTGCCATTAGTCATGTTGATCAGGGCTGATGTTGATAGAAGACCAACACATCTTTAAGATGCATTAAGTTGCTTAGTTTCTAGTTTCACTAAAGAGTGTTTCTTTTGTGGATTTCCTTATAGTAAGAAGGAACTCAGCAGTGTAATAATTGGTATAATTATAGATAAAGCATAGATTAAGCATGGACAGTCTATGGCCACCTCAAATGTTATCAAGTTGCAACTTGCACCATTCCTCAACATTTGACAGGCTTACAAGGACTAATCTAAATTTGAGTTCAACAACATCTACATGGTCACATATTACTTGACACCACTATGAACTGCTGCAATAAGAATTGAAAGATTTTGAAAATATGTTAACTTATTATATTTTGTTTGTTAAAAAATACTCCATACTCCTTTGATCTACTACTGAAAAATTGTGATGTATTCTTAGATTTTAAAAGTCTGATTGAACATGGAAACATTTTAACATTTATTTGTCCTATCTTGATCAGATGTATTTTGTAAGCATCCAGTACCTTACCAACTCAATGACTTGAGAAGTAGAACTTGCCGACTTTGTAATGTAATGCTTTGATTAATAACTCTGCAAGAAGTTGCTATCATGATATTCTCTAAATGGTATGGATGACAACTCCCCAGAGTCTTCCTTGTTGGCCAAAATGACAGTGGTTTATATCTGAATATCTGAACGATAATAGGTTACCTACACCTGAAGTAAGCTGTTTGTAGACAACCATTTGGAGCATTACTTCATTTGTCTATTAATATCTGCCCAGCCCAGTTCAACTTGCAGAACCAATCTGAAAGGAATAACTGTTTTTGCCCCTAGTCAAATTATCATACTAGAAGAGATAGTCAGAAGAAATATGAACACACACTTAATTGTTGCTTCATGGATAATACTTTTTGTCTCAACATGTGTAACAGCAACAGCTAGGTTTATACTTTTGAGAAATCGCTATTATCTAACCAGTTTAATGTAAGACAAAAAGTGAGTCTAGATTTAAGAAAGCATCCAATTGTAAAAAAAAAGTTCTTATTCCTCTAGAACAGTGTATAAATAATCATCCTAAGGTTATTTTCCTGTTAAATTGAAGTTTTTAAAAGAGTGTTTTGTGAAGGCACTCTCAAATCTGACTAATAGCTACCACTGCTTTTATATTAGTTATCTTTTAAAAATATTGGTTTCATGGAAGAAAATAAGATGTTTATTCCATAATTGCAATATGATATGAGAGGAAATATTTTTATGAAATTTAGAAAGAAAAAACCTTTCCATCTTGGAATAAATTGTATCCACCGTGTATCCTCCAATGCTAAACTGAAATGTTGTTTGCCTTTGGTTTACTCTGAAGTGTAGACCATACATATCATGGTTTTGAATATATTGCTAAACAAAAATTAAAAAGACACATTTTAGCTTAGGGTTACAATGGAACCAGTTTCTATTTAAGAGATAAGGTCTCTAAGTAGGTTTTTGAACTGAGCCCTAAGACCACCAGTTCAAAATTCAGATCAGGTTTTAAATACTGAATTAAGTTTTAAAATACTGTAGGTTTTCTGTGCTACTAAAAAAGAAATTGAAAAAATATATAAACAAATGCTAAGCATAAAAGTGGAGAAGAAAATAATATAGTACTTCATATTCTAAAACTAAACTCTCTTTCTGGGAGAGACAAGTCTACTTTGGCATAAAACATGGCATATACAGAAAAGGGAAAAATTCATCCACCTTCACATTTACCTCCGGGGCACAAGGTTACAATAAACCATGACAAAACTTGCATTCGTTTTAACCACTACTAATTTCATTAGAGTTACATTAGTTATTCTTTTTCTTTGATGATCTAATTGTGGAAAAATCTCACTTCTGCTAAATATACAGCACAAATTAACAAGTCTTACAACACATTTTGTAACTACTGTAGTAGAAAGCATGGAACTCGAAAATGAAAAAATATTTTCAACTAATATAATCTTTCCATTATAAAATGACTTTTAAAAAATGCAAGTCATCAGAGTAAAATATTAATAAGTTTCAAACAAATTCTGTATAAAGCACCACAGTGGTTGAATCTTGATATTAGTTTGACTTATAACCACATTATACATGAAAAATAATTTTAGCATCCATACTGAATGATATATGTTACACAATTTTACTATTGCTGTTTGCTGTGTAATTATATAAAGTACATGAAATATGAAATGCTCATTTCATGTAAAATTGTCATGGTAATAAAACTCAGAAGTAGGGAATAATGCCACCTTCATACTGCTAATATTGCTTAAGGCTACAAAAATATTGTCTAACTTGGCACCAGATTGGGAAAGGATGAGTAATGTGTGCGTATCAATTAATTTGTAGAAATATAGCACTCTGCCACAATTAAGAGACAGACTGGATTTATAAAATCATTTTAATGTCCTTTTGCATGTAATACTTTTGCAATCCATCTAAACCAGTGGTTCTCAACCTTTCTAATGCCGCGACCCCATAATACAGTTCCCCATGTTGTGGTGACCCCCAACCACTTATACATCACCGGGTGCCAGGGGTGTGGCCAAAGAAAAGGGGGAAAAAATGGCGGACAGCCTTGTTTGGCGATCCCCGTGAAATGGTCGTTCGACCCCAAATGGGGTCCCGACCCACAGGTTGAGAACCACTGATCTAAACAGATTATGAGAGAGAAATGGGAGCATCAGGATAGAATATTCCCAATTACACTGTTGCCTGCACACAGATTAGCAAACTAGCGACATCAATGATATCATATCATTTAGATAAACCTATTTTCAGTTGAGCAAAATCTTCTCCCTGATAACACACGAATGTTTATCATTTGTTTTCAATGAAAAACTGCTGCAAATATTATAGGAACCAATTCCTAAACTGATGCTCAGGTCTAACCAGTATAAATAATGTGTATGAATTGAGTGATTCTGAGCACAGTCTGGATCTTATCAGGACATCATCAAAGCTTCAGTTAGGACATCTGAGACACATGAATTCAGAATAGTTGGGGTGTGCTTGCTCCCAGTAAGACAAAGTCCAAAGCTATATCAATTTGTTTAATAAGTAAAATAAAGAACTTGAAATTCTAAAAGAGTTTAAAGCATTCATTTATACTTATGCCAATTTGGGGTGATTTATTTTCATTGCGTACTCGTCAAATAACAGTCCTGGAAAGCCAACAACCATATCACTACTATCGGTACAAGCGCTATAATAAGTATGTAACTCCTGCTGCTTATATGTAGTGTATTCATTCAAGAATGTAGCAACTCTTTCTACCTTTGCACACCCGCTTTTCCCCAATCAGAACATCCCCGTTATTTGTGCAATTGAACTGTGTCATAGTAACAAAAAGAACAGGGGACAGAGCATTCAAAACGGGAAACGGGGTGTGTGTTTGTAGGTGCGAGACAGAGAACACCTACTAACATCTATAGTAGGTTCAGTTCTAGATTGTTTTGCAAAGCGATTAAAATGTACACAGGCACCATTATCCTGACACGTAGTACATTTATTTCTCTCCCCTTCATTTACAAGTAAACGAGGCACCCTGTCAATATGTTACTGGGGGGGGGGGTGAGTTGCTTAGAGCTCCTATCCAGCCTCCCCGTCCACCCCACAAAAGCAGCGTTGCCCTCCACTACTTCGCCTTTTGCCCAGCGGTCAGCCTAGTGCTCTCGTTTCCCCTCAAGAACCCCCCCCCAAGCGCAAACTGGCGTCGTCGGATAACTGGTCCTCCACCTCCGGCCCACGCCCGGTCTGGCTAAGAAGGCAGCGGGTCTCCGCGGAGGAAGAAGCCTCTCCTTCCTCCTGCGCTGGCTTCGTTTCCCTCCGCTTCCCCCCGTTCCACGGCGCCCAATACGATACTGAAAACGCGCCTCGACTCACACAGGGACGAAAGGACCGCAAGCAGCAGCGCCCGGAAGGAGGCCGTGGGCGCCGCGCCATGCCGCGAACTGCCGCTCCCCGAAAACGCCGCTAAAGCCGCCGCTGCCAACGCCGCTGCCATTTTCCTGCTTCCATCGCCTTTTCCTCCCATTGTTCCACCCCCACCCATGGTTGGAGAGGGGTGGGAAAGCCGAGGGGAGCTACCGCACGCCCATTGAGTTGTGCCTCTGTCAATCACGCACACCTCCTGAATCCCACGTCTCCTTTTCACGAGGCTCTGCCTCTCGCTTCCCCTGGTGAAAAGCGGTTGGAAATTCCAGCTGCCACTCTCCCTTGCAGGTTTAGTTTATTAGAAAAGCACCGCCCCACCCTCGTTGGGGGCTGAAACGTGATAAGAAGCTATTTAGGCGCTTTTTGTAGTCTTCTCAAATATTGCAGCAGGATTCGCTTTCTGCCCGGGTTTTTTTTTTTAATCTGGCAGTGGCTCAAGTGGAAGTATCCCTAGCATGATCGAGATTTCGTGGCTTTTTATCCGACGGTTGTTTCCTTCTTCGGTAACCCAGTTATTAACCATGTATCTGTCCAGATTGTGGAAGTACACGTTCTCTCCAGCCTAGATAACGCCTCGTTCTGAGATAATTCCTCATATCAAAATGAACAGGGGCTGTTTTTTCTCATTAATTTCAACGCATTCTTAACAGGTTTTGCTTGGTGTTTGACGTCAGATATAGCCATGTGAATAATTTCCTGTTTTCTCCCATTAAAAGGTAAAGTGTAAAAAAAAGCATGCGTAAATATTTCCATTATGACAGGTATTAGAAATTAAGTATTACAGTTTTTGGTGCTGTTGGTTTAAACCAAGTTCTCAAGATGCTACTGTTCATATTTTCCTTGGGAGAAAGTTCTATAATGGGGGTGCTGTCTCTGAGAAGACTCTGCTTGTGGCCACTGTTCTATAAACCAAACCAGGGGGACCATCTGATCTAAATGGATGGTAAACATAGATCAGGGATGTCAATCTCAATTTCATTGAGGGCAGCATCAGCATTGATGTTGCCCTCAGGGGGCCAGGTGGGTGTGGCCAGGGTAGGTGCGGCCTACTGGGTGGGTGTGGATGGAGTGGGTGTGGCCTACTTGGTGGGCGTGGTGGGTGTGGCCTACTTGGTGGGCAGGAGTGGGATAGATCTGAGGGTCTCTGGCAGAAGGGGGTGGGACCAGGGCAAGTGCCAAGGCATGGTCCACTGGAGGAGCCTCACTGTTCCTCTCAGGCCATGCGTGGGGGGGGGGGCTTATGGAGCTAAGACTGAATGTGTTTCAGAATAGATGGCCACCACAAAATTGTACATGGGCTCCTGGCCAGCTAGGGTCAAGGCAAAGGGGGGCGTTCCTTCACTGTTTCCAGGATGGCTTCATGGGCCACATGAAACCAGTTCGTGGGCCGCATCTGGCTCCCGGGCCTTGTGTTTGACATGTCTGATATAGATGATTAGGGCGCTGGAGGCTAAAACATATGACAAATATTTGTGGGAATTGGGTATGTCTAGCTTAGTGAAAAGGACTTGGGGTGGTGACATGATAGCAGTGTTCCAATATTTGATAGGCTGCCACAGAGAAGAAGGGGTCAACCTATTTTCCAAAGCATCAGAAGGCAAATAATAGATGGAAACTAATCAATAAGAAAACCAGCCTAGAACTAAGGACTTGTGAAAACAACTAACCAGTGAAAAGGCTTGCCTTCAGAAGTTGTGGATGCTCCATCACTGGAGGCTTTTAAGTAGAGATTGGATATTCCATTTTCTGGAATGGTATATGTCCCCTGCTTGAGCAGGAGCTTGGACTAAAGACCTCAAAGATCTCTTCCAACTCTTATTCTTTGAGAGAAGTGCTGCCAACCTCTCCCCCTCCCTGTCCCTTCCTGGGCACAGAGAGAAAGAGGGACGGAAGGAGGTGAGGGAAACAGGAAGAAAGTAAGGGAAGGAAGGAAAGAGATGGGAATGAAAAGGAGAGAGGCAGGGAAGAAGGGGAGGGAGGAAGGAAGGAAAGAAAGAGAAGGAAGGAAGGAAAGTAAGAAAGAAAGGAGAGAAGGAAGGGAAAGAGGGAGGAAGGAAGGAGATTGGAATAAGAGGGAGGGAGGGTCTGAGGGAAGTCCTGCCTTGGCACTTGGCTACCAGCAGCCCTGTTGCCCTTTTGCCACCCCCTGGTGGTCTCCCATCCTACTGCTGAGGATGCTTTGGTTACAAAGCCAGGTTTCCTCACATGGAGAGGGAGCGGGCCTCCCTGTGACCCACATACTTTGTCCTCCTGCACCCACCATGAGCAACCTGGCCAAGGAGAGTGAGCACAGCAGCAGCAGCATTGAGGAGGAGGTAAGTGCAGCTGGGCACCCTCGTGGGGAAGTGCAGCTAGGCACCAGATATCATCACCACCTGATGGATCCGTAGCTGGCTGACCGGCCATACTCAGCGTGTGATCCTCAATGGAACCGTATCTACATGGAGGGAAGTGTGTAGTGGGGTGCCCCAGGGCTCTGTTCTAGGCCCAGTGCTCTTCAACATCTTCATTAACGATCTAGATGAGGGGATAGATGGGGAACTCATCAAATTTGCAGATGACACCAAGCTGGCAGGAATAGCTGACACTCCAGAAGACAAGCTTAGGATATAGGAGGATCTGGACAGACTTGAACACTGGGTGCTATCTAACAAAATGAAATTCAATGGTGAAAAAAGTAAGATTCTACATTTAGGCAAGAAAAACCAAATGTACAGGTATAGTATAGGGGGTACCTTGCTCAATAGTAGTAACTGTGAGAAGGCTCTCAAAGTCCTAGTGGACAATCATTTAAATATGAGCCAGCAGTGTGCTGCAGCTGCCAAAAAAGCCAACACAGTGCTAGGCTGCATTAACAGAGGGATAGAATCAAGATCATGTGAAGTATTAATACTACTTTACAATGCCTTGGTAAGGCCACACTTGGAATACTGCATCCAATTTTGGTCACCACGATGTAAAAAAGATGTTGAGACTCTAGAAGAAATACAGAGAAGAGCAACAAAGATGATTAGGGGACTGGAGGCTAAAACATATAAGGAACGGTTGCTGGAATTGGGTATATCTAGTTTAACAAAGAGAAGGATGAGGGGGGACATGATAGCAGTGTTCCAATATCTCAGGGGCTGCCACAAAGAAGAGGGAGTCAAGCTATTTTCCAAAGCACCTGAAGGCAGGACAAGAAGCAACAGGTGGAAACTAAGCAAGGAGAGAAGCAACCTAGAACTAAGGAGAAATTTCCTGACAGAACAATTAATCAGTGGAACAACCTGCTTCCGGAAGTTCTGGATGCTCCAATACTGGAAGTTTTTAAGAAGAAACTGGACAGCCATTTGTCTGAAATGGTGTAGGGTTTCCTGCCTGAGCAGGGGTTGGACTAGATGACCTCCAAGGTCCCTTTCAACTTTACTACTATTACTAATTATTATTAGGCTAGGCAGGGCTGTGAGATCCTGGTGTCGTGGGAGTTCAAGGGCTGGGCTGGGTGCTTGACCTCCACTGCCCAGAGCTCTGGGCAGTCCATGCCACTGTCCAGGGGCCCCTTGCACAGCCTGAGGCTCAGTGAGGCTCTTCCAGTGGACCATGCCCTGGTGCTCGCCCTGGAGCTAGAAATCCACCAGATTTGGAAGGAATCTGAGGGTTGCTTGTATACAATCTACATACAGTCTACAGCCATATATTCTTAGATAATGATGGAAGTACAGAATATTGAAAAGAAAACAGATAAGCACAATATTGAGTGCAAAATACTAAATCCTTTGGATGCATATTCTTCTGTTCTAGTTAATGATGGCTTAAGGAATGTGACACACAAAGTGGGATTTGTAATAGTAGAAAAATAATCATGGATATAAATTACTTAAATGTGCTCTTCCTTCCTTCACTGTATTCTTATTAAAATGATCAAACAAAGATATTCAGCACCTGCCCTTGATTTAAATCTCGCTTTAAGAATTTTGCCATTGCACCCCACAATATACTTTGTAGTATAAATCATCATTTATACTACTCTCAACTTTAGTCAGTTCTGCCATCATGTGGGTCAATCTTTTTTTCAGTTTTGTTCACAATAAAAGTAACCATATGTTGTATGTTTTAATAGCTTGTTTATTGTAAAATTGCAAAAAAATTTAATAAAAAAATAGCTCTCACATTCCTTCTAGATATTCCTGGATTTATTATAGTAATATTCCTAATTTTGACGCCTTATAACAAACATACATAAGAATTTTTCAAATAACTAATTCGATTGCTTATATTTGTAACTTAAAGCTAATCTATTTTAAATTTTTACTGAGTTATTTTGAATACACATAAAAAGAATGCATTTTCCAAATTGCATCAAATAAAAGCAAAACAAAACAAAGCAAACCCTTTTTACAGGCACATGAGGTTTCTTCTATTCTTTCTTCTTTACCTTAGATACTTTCATTAATTCTGAACAAGGAATTTTCCTACTAGGATAGCCCATTATAGTTGTAAATACCTCAGAGATAAGGGTCAAAGAAAAATTATGCCAAAACATTTTTAAGGATTGCAACTATATATCAGATATAAATTTGATTAAAATGAATTTCTCACCCTCAGCAACGTTACGATGGGTGGACTTCAGCTCCCAGAAATCCCCAGCAAAGCCTGTCTGGCTGGGGACTTCTGGGAGTTAAAAGTCTTTCAGCTTAACGCTGACGGATTTGGGAAAACCCTGCGTTAAAGGATGATAGCTGTGAAAAATGTATCGGATTATTTCGGGATCCTCTTCCGCCGTCCTCTTCCCCTAATTTGACATAGAACCCCGTAAATATATCTTTGTTTCTTTCGTATTGTCGCCCAATGCAAAATGTTTTCCAGATTAAAAAAAAACGCCGGAGGTGTGATACCTCCGGGGCTCTCCCAGGGCTTCTTCCGCAGCCTTGTGTGAAGGGCTATTCTGCCATTTGCTGTAACAGAAGCGTATCCATGTTTAATGTACATACGAGTATGCAATATGCGCTATACTTTATCTAAATGGCATTCTGTGCCAAGAACATCTGCCTTTGAATGGGATTACTTATTTTGCTGACTTTAGAAAAGCACACATATTAAAACAAAACAATCACGCGGTTTTCGGTGTGGTCTTTTAGGCAGAAGTAAAGATCAAAATAACAACTAAAATTAGGATCCAGAAGAAGAATAAGAGTGGCTGTATAGACTGGCTCGTTGGTCTAGGGGTATGATTCTCGCTTAGGGTGCGAGAGGTCCCGGGTTCAAATCCCGGACGAGCCCTATTTTTTAATCATTTCTAATAACATACATGGTTATTTTTAAAAACATATATTAATATTTTACAAAAAGCTATGCTTTCGGTTCACTCCAGTACTTTAGAAAACGTAGCAGGATTTATTCTCACCAACTGCAATTGCAATTCATTCGCCAGCGACGCTGCAACGGGAGTCACTATAGACCATTTCCTCTTTTTATTATTGATCGTTCTACAATTCATGCTACAATTTTAAGAAAAAGGAAAAATGAAGCCTATTCCTTTCCTCTTGTTTACTCCGGTGCTTTCCTACACATAAAACCTTTTTAGTATTCAGTATCACAATTTATTATTTTATCAAAAAGGACAGAATGTAAACGCAATCGGTCTTTTCGGCAGTTCGTACAAATGAGAAAATATAAATTAAGCTATGCGGAATTTCAAATGTAGCTCCGGTATCCTGTTAATCCGTTCTCCTCGATTTTGGGGAGATTATTTACTTGCATCCTTGATTAACTTGTTTTGATGAAAGATTCTGTAAAACGTTTTAAAAAGGCCTCATTCCCCCCAAAATACGAAGGAAACCAATCCATTTCCTCCGACTACGGGCTCGTCCGGGATTTGAACCCGGGACCTCTCGCACCCGAAGCGAGAATCATACCCCTAGACCAACGAGCCGCTCTCAGCAAAATCCTCCTCGGCTCGCTTCTTCACTTTTATCCCGCCCCTCTGATACTGCGCAATCTCCCAAGGGTCGGCGGCTTTACTAATGCGGCGTTCGTTCTTTTGGAAAATGGTTCCACGGACAGTACCAGCCGTGGCGTTTAACTTCGCTTCTCCACTACTTAAAAGATCTGCCGTTAGTGCCTCCCTCCCTTACGGAGAATATTTTCCATTTAAACTCAGTCCCAGAAGAGAAGACGCTTTAGCCTGCTCGGAGGAAGACTATACCACCCCGCTCTTGAGGAGGGGGGGGATTTACTTCCTACTTTCTTCATAAGCCCTCTTTGACATTGTATGTACGGTAGTAAATGCGGGGTGCGAATCTGTTCGTTTCTAATGAAACGATAAGCTTTATGAAGTTTATTTCGGCAAGGCGTTTTCGATTCCTCTCCTCTCCAAACGATTACCCTCTTCTTTCTAAATAAGTAATAAAGTTTAACAAGTTACTTTGTCTGTAGGGCTCCTGTGCCTCTAACAGGCATGACAATAAGTAAAAGATCCTGAAAAAAATCTTCATTGGCTTCCGGCTTTTTGCGGAGTTTTCTAAGATAAAGTACAGGACGGACTGGCTAGACACATGCACCTGAGAAGGTGGAATATAACGTCTAACATGCATCATTTAGTTTTTTCAGACCACAAGATGCATTTAAAATAGCATTTCATCCATTTATTCTGAATGTAGACAGTTTTTGCCCCCAGAAGGCTCTATTTTCACTGATTTCCATGGTCTATAAAACGTATTTGATAGGGTCCGTATCTGGTCAGCACAAATCTGCACAATTCCAGTGGACAAATCCGGACATCCGTTAGGACAACTCCAGTGGGCCTATCATATGCACAGGAAGGTGAGTGTCATAGTATTTTTTTTACTCTGATCTCTAGCAAATCTCTGCTTTTACTCAGAACTCTTCATGAGCGTTCCCCAATAGCATATTTTCCAGATAGCTTGAACCAACTTCAATAAATGCTAGCTGAGCTGTATTTTCTGAGAATTATTGTCTAACATCTTTGGAGTACACAATTGTTGGTGATGCATTGATCTCCTTGAGAAAATGGTAATTTTCTTCCATCTCATTGGTTATAATAGTTTCTGTCCCATCATAGCTTTTAATGTAAACATACATTTTTCGGAAATCAATAAGAAGTGATGGTATGAAATGCCATGCTTTTCACATGTGCATGCAATTATCTCACTAGTTATCATATATAAAAATAATGTTCCACAACTTTTTTCCAACTATCCATCACTCTCAAGAAGAAAAGTTCTAATTTCCATTGAACGTTTTATTTATTTAAATTGTATACTGCCTGTATTTTTTTTTAGAAATAATTCAAGGCATATCCAACACTCCCTCCTGTTTCTCCACAACAGCCTTGTGAAGTGTTAATCTTTAAAATCCTCTGAATTAGTTGAATCTAATTTTTTAAAGCATTTTTTCATATTTCACCCTTTTTGTTGTTCACATTTCCAACATAAATGTAAAGTACATTTATACATTTTAGATAATACGTCTGGAGTCATACTGCATATCCATGGTATGCCATTTTATAAAAATTCTCTTTAAGATTAGAACAGTGTAAATCTCATTCCTTTCAACTACATATTTTCCCATGTTTCCATCTGTATGTTATAACCAAAATCTTTAGTTGACTTTATCATGCGTTCCTTAACTTGTTTTTCTGTTTCAACTTTTAGTAACAATTTATAAATTTAGTAATCACGTGTTCATCATTTGTACACAATTCTGTTTCAAAATCAGTCTTACAATTTCAGTACTATAAATTCTTTAAATCTGATGACTAAATAAAGTCATTATCAACCATGTCCCTCTACCATCAGTAGAGACCTGGACTGGAAACTAGGAGAATCTTTGTTCTAATCCTGGCTGAAGCATGAACTCAGCTGGGTGACTTTGGGTCAGTCACTCACTCTCAGTCCAACTCACCTCACAGGATGGTTGTGGGAAAAAATAGGAGGAGGAAGGAATATTAGATGTGTTTATTCATCACCTTGAGTTACTTACAGAATAAAAAAAGGCAGGGTAAAAATCGAATGAATGAATGAATGAATGAATGAATAAAATATTCCCAACACAAATGAAATGTCAATGTATAAATAGAGTCATGTATACTTACTGCATCACCATTCCTACATTAAAAACAATGTGTCTCCTTTACATTACTATCAAGTGAAAATACACAATTCATGTGCATGTATTTGTGAATCATGTCTCAATAAACAATGCTAGTTAATAGATTTTATGTGACAATAAAACTATGGTTGTCAGATCTTTAAGGATGTTCCTAATAACAGAATGCTTTCCAGTAAGAGGAAGTATTAAATAAGTGAATATATTGAAAAAACATGGCTCAATAGTGGCACCAATTAAAGGACAGATTTAAATTCTTTTACTTCCCTCTATGTTTCTAAAGTGTCCTCGTTCTCTTTATATAGTATGTTAGAAATTTAAGATGCTATGAAAAGGCTCAGTGCTTCAGGTATTGGTGAGCTAATCTCAAAAAAGATACAAAATGAGATCACCCTAATAACAGAATTTCAGTATTATATCATGGGACCTCCAGATAGTTTTCGAACTAAACTTTTCCAAATGTTTTAACAATTACATTCTTTCTGGAGTTAGCATGAGAATAAAGGCTACCCTACTATGATAGCTTGTCTAAGTCTTTATATAAATGTCCTGGTTTCTGCAGCAAATCAAGAATAGGTCATTTTTTTTAACTTTAATCCAGGACATGCAGTGGGAAACCTAAACGTTTTTAATAACTGAGATGGTTTAGCAAAACAAATACAAAAATCTCTGCAGTGTTCTTCAGATTCATGATTTAGTCAAGGCATAGATAGCAGTGCATCCATTATGAAAATCCAAGAAAAAAAAAAGAACCCAATCATTCCTCCACAGCTATTGTTCCCCAAAAACAATGATTGAAACAATAGATGATCAACATGGGATGCATCTTTGCTCTATGGGGAAGGGACAAAAAGCAAAACAATTTCCGGGTGAAAGTGTTAGCTGTCTGGATCAAATAATAAATGAATGCACAATAGCTTTGAAGTTTAACAAACACATTATATTGCATAAGAAAATTCATTTCTCAGAATGACATGATCCATACATTACATAAATATTTATATAACATTTCTATTATCCTTGACAATCAGAAAGCAATACATACCAGTTTAATTGTATAGTCAATGAGAATCTATTATCTCATTCATACCTATTTGAGAAATTCACGAAATTAAACTGTCTATTTGATATAAATGGGTATCTTTAATTACAAAACATTTTCTTTAATATATCATATTATTTCTTTAACAATATGGTTATTTTTGAAACTACTTCATATTTCTGCTTTGAAGATAGCTTTTGGGAAGAGATGACAATATGCAAAATAACACTGCAGTGAACCATGCTCACTTGATGTATAAGCAATATTTGCAGACCTAGGCATAATTCCTTCCAAATAGCAACACTTAACAGTATTCATACTGACAGGTATATGCTTTCATTCTTCAGTCACATCAAGCAGATCTGTGTGAAGTTCAGCAATGCATAGGTGAACAGCTTGTTTTCCCCTAATTTATTGATTATATGTTTTCTCCGCATTTGATATTTCAGCCATTATTTCTTATAGATCTCATGTTCGACTAGCAGTTGCATTTGTAAAACAGTCTATATAATGGGGCATGATCCAGTGCTTCCTATTTTTATTTCTATTCTATTCCTATTTCCTAAAATAATTGGAGATGTCTACTTAAGCAATCACCATAACTGACTTCTTAAAGAGAAGAACAGACTTTGCAAGATATAAGTTATTTTGACAAGTGAGACTGAAAGATGTTATTGCTTTAGTCAATTCAGTATGTAATACATTTTTAAAAATACAACAGGAAGATCTATCATTTACATTATAAATAACTTTTCCTTTTTTAAAAATATGAACAATAACCAAGGGAATTAGATAAATAGCATAAGAGGCTCAAACGTAATGTAACATTCATGTATAAAAATATCCACAAATTTAATACATACATCATGTCGAGCTACAGTCTCACTCTTCTTTGCTAAATAAGTCATATAACTGAATATGCACATGTTAAACCCTAAGCCATGGCCTATTTATCACAATGGCTTAGCAATCATGTGGCCGAATCCATGATAACTGTTTTGCTGAATCCAGTCATAGCTTTCTCCCATGTTTAATAGCAAACTCAGAAAAACTCAAAAGATATGAAATGTTGTAGGAAATCAGTTTGGGGCGGGTTTTGTTTTTTGTTTTTACTTTATCACATATACAAATTATTCCACAGCCACTAAGAAAACCATTAGGGACTGAGTTTTTGGTGGTTCTGTGTTGATTCTATAATGGCTATGTATGCAGGATAATTATAGCTCACAGGCCAGAAATGGTTTGGAAATGTCAACTTTAATCAGAAAGTATAATTAATATGGATCATAGTCCTTTTCATTAAAAAAAAAACTCTTAGCAACTGTTGAAATTTAATAGACAACAATCTCCAAAACACGCTTTTGGCCTGTCCCCAAGTTTGAGAAACTTAAGGAACTTGGTAAGGTTGCTGTTCATCACAGATATTCTTAAGAATTGCCAGAAGAAAGTAACAATTCAGTTTCTTTGGTATTTTCATTTAAGAAATAGTTTATTTCTTTGTAAACCTTTATAAACTAGAAATAGTTTATAAGCAGGTTTTGCAATAGGAACGCTGATAATTGGCTTCTCATTTATCATTTGCTTAGTAATTATATTAGCACCATATCCTGGAGTTCAAAATAGTTTCATATCTGAATTAGGTTGTGAAGTCCCAGTATCCTGTATGCTTGATTCGTGATGTGAATCTTCACTTTCATTTATTTTTCCCCCCCTCTTTTCTTTATAAGTGTTTTCCAGGTCAGAAGCAATGCAGTTCCATGGTGTTCTTTTTCTATCTTCTGCAATATCAGTATCTGCAGTCTTCTCTTTCTCAATGTTCACAGTCGTATTTGGCTTTTCCTCTGAAAGATTCTGGTATGTCTTGTCTTCCTGGCTCTCTTTGAATTTTGTTACTTTTTCTGTATTCACTTCTTTCTCTTTGTTTTCTAATCCACTAGATTGTAGATCTGATGAGGATTTTTCATCAGAAGGTTGATGATTTTTCTTCTTATGATGATCTATGCCATCCACAGGGGCAGGTGAGGATTTCATAGTTTTATTCCTGTCCATAAATACATCTACATCCTCCTTCTCCTCAGCTTTGGAACCATTTTCCTGAGGTAAAACTGTCCCTTCTAAATCTAGGTCATCTCCGTATTCTGACTGTGATTTTCGAAACCTTCTAGATGGTGGTCTGCGTTTTATTGATCCTCGCGTCCTTACCTGAAAGTGGATAAAGCTGTGATTGAAATAAGAACATGACCTAGACCAGACATCACTAAAAACAACCAACAGAACTGCATTCATTCCTTGACTATTAATTATTCTTCATAAGATTAATTTTTTGAATTATCATTTCTTTCACATCGAAGAACATATGATTGTTCCTTAACAAAAGTATTCCAATGTTTTTTCAGTGCCAACTAGCATTTTACAAGTACTTTGGCCAATGTGGTTTTTGTTGTAAGAAATTACATCATCTGAAAATAGCCCCAAGCAAAGCTGGAAAGCTAGCAATAGGAGCTAGGAAGCAAGGTGAACAAAAGAAGAAAGAAAAAACTGTCGGTGTTGCAAGCATATACTGATTCATGTAATGATAGCAAGTTAAAGGAAATGGTACATTTAAAGAAATTTCAGTCTCACAATCATATGTACATTAAGCTATATGGGAATTCCACATATTCAAATCTAAGGAATGTTGTTCTATCTGGCTGTCATTTGCCTAACAATTAAAAAAAATGATATTCTAACATTTCCTCTTCTTAAAAAGGTTCCCAGGGCAGAATTCAGGAAGCCACTTTATACTAGGAAAATCATGTGCACTTCAAGAATACTTTTTTAAAAGATCAAAACTATGCAATGTATTTATTACTATTATAAAATTCAACAAATTAAATTAATATTCCAGTCAAATGAACTTCATTTTTTTTCTTTAAAAATAAATACTCATTTACTCCAATTAGTTAACTGTTACTTGGTCAAAGCTCTTTGTTATCTGCTTGAAAACTGCTGCGGCTGTTCATTGACTCATTTTATTTCATATTCATGTTTTGATGGTACTACATCTTGAGAGACCTCCTGCCCCCTTAATTTCTTCCTTTCCTTTTTCATCTTTAAATTGCCAATATTATGGTGACCAGCCTATATCTTACCTTATTATAAAACTGAAGATGAGTGCCTTCTGGTGGTTGATCAAAACTAACTGGAGATTCAACAGGACTACTTGAATGAGTGTGTGGGCTGACAGGGGTGACTGGTGCACTGTTAAAGGGAGACACCATTGCCTTCAGTCCAGGACTTTTAGGAGAAGCTCCTGGCAGCATAGATGTTGGAACAAATGCCAAATTGGCCTGTAAAGAAAATGAGTGAATCATAAATAAGTACTTTCACCTTCTTCTCAATATTTGAAATTTTGTCTTAATTTTAGTCACTTTATGTATTGCTGAACTCAATTAGTTTATGGAGTGCACTTAATATGAGCAAAACAGTGAGATTCCTAAATGCTTAATAAGGATATCTGCCAAAGAATGACATACTTTTTTCTGGAATAATTGTAGCACCTCTGCCAGCATTCAATAAGAAATAAAAAAAAAAATTCAAAGTTGAGCATGGAACTTCAAAACTGGTATCAACTTTATTTTTTGGGGAGGGATTAATCATGTTTACTTTCTGAATAAAATAAGCAAATTTTTAAAAAATAAGAGCCAAAAATATTTCAGCAAAGGCTCTGTAGAAAATATAAAATAGTATCCAACTCTGTGGGAGAAAAAAAAATAGGAAAGGGGGAAGTAGAAGAAAAAAGATGTAGTCTATTGAGTTAAGATATTATTATTATTTTTTATGTCTGAACTGCTAAGGAATTATTGGAGACCCTCTGTAGTTCCCTATTAAAGGATAGGAAATAATTGGTGGTGGAAATGGGCTGAAGGGTATTATCAGATATTCAATAACGGAAGGACAACCCTCTCCCCTAGTAAATAAAATGACATACACAAAAACCAAAGAAAACATAAACCAGGGTTCTGAGCAGATGTTCTGTTAACAGCCAAGAACACTAGATATAAGACTATTCAAAACATCCTAAAGAGATGCATCCTAAAGCACATTCACATAGCACATATATTGTCCCATATCCAGACAACAGAGAATAGCTTTCAAAACAGTTGTGTGAGCTTTATAAAAAAGGAAGCTGTTTCACAATGTCCTCTTTTGAATGCAAGCCTAAGTGGAACTTAAGAGTGGGGGCAGCAACTTGAGGATAGAGATATAATTGATTGAATAGATCTAGAAGAGAAGAGCTCCTTCTCACCAATAGTTCATGGGATATGGCAATCTGATGTAACATTGTGATGGACTCCTCTTCTATAGTTATTGACCAAACACAGTTGTGAGGTAAAAACTATAATATCCACACACAAGGGGACAGTAACCCTCTTTCACCCCCAAATTAATAACAAATTATGATGGGAGAACCCTCAACATTCTTGGAGCAGAGATGAGAAGCACTTGTACATAGTCAGTGTTACCAAGAAGCCTCCTGAAAGAGGACAAGAGCAGATAAAGAGGCCAGAGAAATGGAGGAACATGATGCAAACATCCAAACCTATCAAAAAAAAAAAAGAGTTCTTATTCTCTTGAGTTTCAGAATAAATTGCAATTCCATAATCTTTGTCCCTGTTCATATTGTTGGAGAAACAGCAGCAGCCAAACCTCAGAGACTGAGGAAGAAGACAATATTGTCTGTCCAAAGGGAAGGTTAATAATAATAATAATAATAATAATAATAATAATAATAATTATTATTATTATTTCAAATTACTAACTGGTGTGGTAGCTGATGCAGTACAACAGCATCTAGTTGAAAACAATCTCTTTCCACCCGAGCAGAAAGGAAAACGCCCCAATAGCAGAGGAACAAAAGATCAACTCCTAATAGACAACATGATCATGGAAAACTGCAAGAGAAGGAAGACCAACCTGAATGTGGCATGGATTGACTACAAAAAGGCATTTGACTCTCTGCCACATGATTGGATAATAAAGTGCCTAGAAATAACAGGAGTCAGTAGAAACATCAGAAAATTTGTGCAAAGATCGATGGCACAATGGAAGACACAGTTGCAGATCAATGGTGAGAGGCTGGGAGAGGTTAATATCAAGAGAGGAATATTTCAAGGAGATTCATTATCACCATTACTATTTGTTATTGCACTGTTTCCTCTGTCAACAATACTGAATAACTCAGGACATGGCTATCAAACATCAAAAACATCTGCCAAACTATCCCACCTCCTTTATATGGATGATCTGAAGCTGTATGGAAAAACATCATCTGAAATAGAATCGCTGCTCAACACTGTCCGTATATATAGCCAAGATATTGTAATGGAGTTTGGCTTGGACAAATGTGCCACACTTACTATCAAACAAGGAAAAATAGTGAAAACTGAAGGAATCAAGATGCCCCATGAAAATAACATTAAGAGTCTGGATGAGGAAGAGTACTACAAATACTTGGGTATCCTTCAAGCTGACAACATCAATCACACTGAAGTCAAGAAAAAGATTAGAGGTGAATACATCAAGAGAGTGAAGAAGATCTTAAAGGCCAAACTCAATGGAGGAAATACCATAAAGGCAATCAACACCTGGGCAATCCCAGTCATTAGGTACACAGCTGGAATAGTGGACTGGACTCAAGCAGAACTAAAAGCAATGGATAGGCAGACCAGAAAAATAATGACAATGAATCATGCCCTTCATCCACGCAGTGACATTGATAGACGTTATCTACCAAGGCAAATAGGTGGGCGTGGAATGCTACAAGTACATCAGATGGTTGAAGAAGAAAAAAATGGCTTTGGAAGAATATCTGAAGAACAATGATGAAGATGCACTGAAATTAGTATATCAGGAAGGCTTACTAACTACTGGAGAGACCAAACTGGCCTACAGGAAAGACCAAATGAAGAACAGAATAGAGGCATGGGAAGACAAAGCACTACATGGCCAATACATTAAAAAAATAGCTGGGAAAGCAGATAATAACAAGACCTGGCAATGGCTAAGAGCAGGAAAATTGAAGAAAGATACCGAGGGACTAATTCTGGCTGCACAAGACCAAGCCTTAAGGACAAATTCATACAAAGTCAAAATTGAGAAGACAGCAACAGACAGTAAGTGCCGCCTATGCAAAGAAGCTGAAGAAACAGTGGACCACTTGGTAAGCTGTTGCAAGAAGATTGCACAGACTGATTACAAGCAGCGACATGACAAAGTAGCAACAATGGTGCATTGGAAGATCTGCAAAAAATATCATTTGCCTGTAAGCAAAAACTGGTGGTATCATAAAATAGAGAAAGTCATAGAAAATGATAAAATTAAACTGCTCTGGGACTTCAGAATTCAAACAGACAAGCACCTGCAACATAACACCCCAGACTTAACAATTGTCGATAAGAAAGACAAAAAAATCTGGATAGTGGACGTGGCAGTGCCTGTAGACAGCAGAATAGAAGAGAAAGAACTGGAGAAGATAACAAAATACAAAGACCTACAAATAGAAGTAGAAAGACTGTGGCAAAAGCAAGCAAGGGTAGTACCAATAGTCATAGGCTCCTTGGGTGCAATCCCAAAACAACTGGAGCACCACTTGAACACCATTGGCATTGACAAATTCGCTATTAGTCAATTGCAAAAGGCGGCCTTACTAGGAACTGCTTCCATCCTGCGATGATATCTGTAATACCATCAAACATCCACATCTGCCTATCCCAGGTCCTGGATAAGGACTCGATAGGTAGAGAAAATGCCAAATCCAGTCTGAACATCTGGCTGACTGTGCAATGATCAATAATAATAATAATAATAATAATAATAATAATAATAATAATAATAATAATAATGTTGGAAGGGACCTTGGAGGTCATCTAGTCCAACCCCCTGCTCAGGCAGGAAACCCTACACCATTTCGGACAAATGGCTGTCCAGTCTCTTCTTAAAAACTTCCAGTGTTGGAGCATTTACTGCTTCTGGAGGCAGGCTGTTCCACTGATTAATTTTTCTCACTGTCAGGAAGTTTCTCCTTAGTTCTAGGTTGCTTCTCTCCTTGATTAGTTTCCACCCGTTGCTTCTTGGCCTGCCTTCAGGTGCTTTGGAAAATAGCTTAATTCCCTCTTCTTTATGGCAGCCCCTGAGATATTGGAATACTGCTATCATGTCCCCCCTTGTCCTTCTCTTCGTTAAACTAGACATATCCAATTCTAGCAACCGTTCCTTATATGTTTTAACCTCCAGTCCCCTAATCATCTTTGTTGCTCTTCCCTGTACTCTTTCTAGAGTCTCAACATCTTTTTTTCATCGTGGTGACCAAAACTGGATGCAGTAATCCAAGTGTGGCCTTACCAAGTCATTGAAGAGTGGTATTAATACTTCACGTGATCTTGATTCTATCCCTCTGTTAATGCAGCCCAGCACTGTGTTGGCCTTTTTGGCAGCTGCAGCACACTGCTGGCTCATATTTAGGTGATTGTCTACTAGGACTCCGAGGTCCCTCTCACAGTTACTACTATTGAGTCTATTCTATTGGCTTTCAAAAGCCAGTAGAATAAAAGTGAGTAGCACAGCTAAGGAAAAAGGGGGAAAAATGGCGGCCTGCGTTGTTTGGTGACCCCCATGAAATGGTTGTTCGACCCCAAATGGGGTCCCGACCCACAGGTTGAGAACCACTGCATTAGATGGTAGAGCAAAAAGTAAACCTTTCAGTCCTTTCAGAAATATCTGCTGATAATACTGTAATCACAAGAGGGAGCTCTTGTGCTTAAGATATGTATTTCACCAACCAAAGTATCTAGTGGTGACAATGTCAACAAATAATTTGGGGAAGAGCAAAGGTGGAGAATAGCTGCCTTTCCAAAACATATAGACATTATTCTTGTGTGTGGCTCAAGCCTTATAGATTTTCTAGCATCTCAGCCAAGAAAATATATCAACAATGGCTTGATATCAAAGAAAGGGTGAATATGGCCATAATATCAGCAGTTTTAATTCTCTATATTCATGATTGTCTAGAAATTACTTTTAAATTCTCTATTTCCAGAATTGTGAGATAGTTCTAATATAAATTGTAACAGCATACCATGACAGTAATAGAGTTTAAAGGGACCTTGGCGGTAATCTAGTCCAACCCCCTCCTCACGCAGGAGACCTATACTATTTCTGACAAATGGCTTTCCAATCTCTTCTTAAAAGGCTCCACTGTTGCGGCACCCACAACTTCTAAAGGTTCCACTGGGTGATTGTTCTCACTTTTAGGAATTTTCTCCTTAGTTCTAGGTTGCTTCTCTCCTTGATTAGTTTCCATCCAATAATCTATAATGATCATAGGAAAAAAATACAGAACTTATGGATGGGATAGGACACTAAAAATTTATTTTCTTTTCTCTTTGTGTGCAGTGGGAGATGAGGGGATTTTTCTTGCTGCTCAATTTCTCTTTCCTTCTGCCCCGCCTAGACAATCTTTAGTACCCTCTTCCTACTACCTATTTGTATCACTTGTTTAGCATCTCACCACTTCTCAACTTCAGCCATCAAGGCATCTGCCAGATAGGGAGCAAGAAGCCAAGTTGGCAAGCAGGACTGTGCAATCAATCAATTATTCTTAGAAATGTCAGAGGGGAGAGGAAAAAATCCCCAAACCTATGACTAGCTGATTGAAGCCCCAAAGGGATGTCCTTGGGACTTTGAAGCTCCATCCCTTTGCGGCTTCCATCAGCTAGTCATGCCGACCATTTTGGTTTTTTGCCCCTCCCCATCTGACACTTCTAATAATACTAACATGCACCCATGATTCTAACTAATGAAACAAATCCTGGTTTTCAAAATTGCTGGCATGTTAACTTTTCACCATTGCAGTTAACAATAGGCTTTTAAATGCAAGAGAATTGGTTGTAGACCATTTGAATTTTCATCTATTATAACAGTGTCATCAGTCTTGAGCAGTTATTGATGATTCTTACTCCACTTTTAAAACTGTTCATCTCCTTCCAATCTAGCTGAACATAGCTGAACAAATGCAGGGAGAGAATATACAGTCTTTTCCAATGACTTGTAGCTAGTCATTTCATCATGTTGGATATTGGCATTTCTACTGCATAGAATTTCAATATACTCCTTCCATCTTGACTGGCATCCTTTAGTAAATTAGTTCAAAGTTGGAGCCTTTTTCTGAGTTTGGAAATCTTTGGAAGACCTTGTTTGTTTTTCTGAGTTTATTTCTCTCTTTAATGTCTTTATGGATATCATTCTAATACTGCTACTTAACAAATCTGTGAAATTACTTAAGTTTCTTCCTAAGAACTTTGTCTTTCTTGGCTTTCCCTTTTCTTCTCCTTTTGGCAATATCTACTATTTAATTTGAAATCCAGTTTGCTTTTTTCTAATTCTTAGTCTTTGGCAGTCTTTTTTTATATTCATCCTTACTGTAACACTTTAATTTCATGCCTTATTCCTCCTTTCTAGGGTTCCCTATCTATAGAGTTCAAGGCCTCAAAGTGTTTCTAAATGAAAATGATGGTATATATTGACATTCTTATTATGGAAACTTATTGGCTTTAGTCTTCCACTTTAGATTTACTTGAAATTTTAAAATGAGCAATTTGTAATATTTTTCACTGTCAGCACATAGCCATATTTTTGTTATTGTAATGGAGCACTTCCACCTTTTTGGACCAATAATATAATCAATATGATTATTGTGTACTCCACCTAGTTACACCCATTTATATAAACATCAAAGAAAAAGTTGAGAAACTGGTAAATTGCCCTCCTATTTAATTTTATATAATCCAACTACATTTTTGCTTCTTACTTTTCCAGCTTTTGCATTCCAACTACAAGCAGGACATCTTACTGGCATATTCTGATAATTTCAGATTGAATTTAACCATAAAACTCAATAATCCTCTTTTCTGCATCAGTAGTTGGAGCTAAACTTGAATAATCATCGTATTAAAGGGCTGTCCATAAAATTTAATTGATATTACTCTGTATCTCTCTGTATTGTATCCAAGCACTGTGGATTTTTTTTTGTCCTGAGTAGCAGTAAACATGAAATTCTGAAAGAAGGTATCTAATTTCACTCTCATGTGAATGAAGTGATGCCCAAGATGTCAATGTGTAGACAACGTGTTTCATTTTCATTGTGTTGAGCTTTCCTGTATTCATGCTTTTGACATTCCATATTGTCACTATAGGTCTGTCTTTGCAGCTTTGGATTTGTTTTGCCCTCATGACAACATCAGCAACTAGAAGTTCCAAATGTTTTAACTATCAATATCTTAAAAACATCAAGAGAAGAGCAATAATGCAATCAGATCTTACCTGCATTTTTTCAATGAGAGGAGAACTTTTGGGCCTTATCTTTATAGGCCGAGAAGCATTTGAGGGTGGTTTCTGTAAAAAGAGAAGTAAGATACTGAGTTGGTTGAAAGAGACACCTTTTGTTACTTTCTAAAAAATCTTTGGTGTTTAATTATTACATTTTCTTTATTATTAAATACAAAAAGTCTTTAGGAAAAAGCTTGTTAACAATATGGAGTATCTCTAAGGAACCTTCCTTGGGAAGGACTATATTTCACAAAAGAAAGATGTATATGAATTAGATATAAATATAGTCATAATAAATGATATAATAGACAGGTTTGTAGGGTCTTATCAGGACCAGCACTGTCATATTCATGCTAGACATTTTGACTTCACACTGGAGATAAATTGAAGGGATTCAGAAATTAGAGACGCAACTAATCTAAAAGGATGGGAATTCCTATTGCCAGTATTGCTAGGTCGCCCTTCTCCAATTTTTACAAGTTACAAGTAAAAGGTCGTTGATTTCTTGCAACAACTACTGAAGGACAATGCCATCAACAAGCCATGATACTACTGTCTTTACTCAGGAGAAGCCACACCATGCATATATGGACTCCCCAAAAACCAGAGAGGGAATTCCACTCAGACCAATTGTCAGCAGCATTAACTCTGTCACCTACAGCATTGCAAAACATCTAACCACCTTATTAGCTCCTCTAGTTGGCAACACCACCTATCAAATCAACAGTTCACAGGACTTTGCCAGCAAGGTTTAAAAACTAAAACTGGACTCAGATGAGACCATGGTTTCCTTTGATGTGACTTCCCTCTTCACCTGCATTCCAACAACTGAAGCTGTCAAGGCAGCATTTTAGGTGACATAACCAACCTCAGACCACATATGTGTCATGCTGGACCTCTGCCTGACCACTACCTATTATAAATACAATGAAGATTTCTACAAACAAAAGCACGGCTGTGCCATGGGTTCTCCTGTGTTCCCCATTGTGGCCAATCTCTACATGGAAGAGGTAGAAACCAAAGTCCTAAACTCCTTCACAGGAACTCCACCCAGTGGACAATACTTGGGTCAAGATCTAAACACAGGAAGTGGAAGCATTCACCAAACATATCAACTCTGTGGACAGATACATCAAATTCAAGAGGGAAGATATTAAGGAAAATAGTCTAGCCTTCCTGGACTGTTTTATACACATTACAGAAGACAGAAGCCTTAACATTGAAGTTTACAGAAAACTCGCACAGATCAATATTTACATTTTGATTCTCACCACTTACTGGAGCACAAAATGGGAGTTCTCAGAACCCTACCCCACCGAGTTGAAGACCTGCCTAACAGCAAATATGGGAAAGAAAAAGAATTAAAACACATCAAAACACCTCAGAACATGTAGCTATCCCTAGTGGGCCTTCATCAAATCCCAAACTGTACAGCCATCTCTCAACAGAGGGGGAGGGATATGACATCATCTATCTCCAGGCTACAACACAGTCTTTTCAGCAGTTCCAAGAAGGTTCCATACTCATTTGCACTACTCAGATGACCCTGATGACACAGATAAACCTTCAAGTGGCCTCAATGACTCTCTAAAACAATGCAAATGACCAGCTATCTGCAAAAAATATAAATCCTGCCATTCTCCACCATCCAGAAGCTTCTTGCATGATGCTGGTTAAATGGGTGGGAGTGGGGTTTGATGTCCGTGAGTGTACATACAGCAGTGGGAGGCGGTTGCTCCCAGTGCAGACTTTGAAAGCACGGGAAGCACTATTTGTTTGACCTGCATGCCAAAGGTTCCTCACAGTAAAACATGATACTGCCTGTGAACTGATAGACTCTGCATCTTTCTTGCCAAGGGTAAGGTAGGACCATTGACACAAGAAAGACCAGTTGCTTCTTGAAAAAGCACCTTTGGGAGAACTTGGTGAGATAGAATCAGGTTCCATGATGTAAGGAAATCACTACTGTGTACCATTCCAAACAACTCTACAGCAATTGCAGCACTTCAGTTTTAGAGTTTTTATTAACATGTCTTATAAAAGAAGTACAATTCAGTTTCATTAAAATATTGATACTTACTAGCTCACCATTCTGTCCCTGCTCCATCTTATTTGTATGGAGGGGAAGAGAACAAGGAGGCTTTCTGCGTGCTGGTTTAGGAGGTGGGATCTGAAAACAAAGGAAAACTTATGAAAGAGAAAAGAGATAGATATGAAAAGAACATATGTAATATTGGTTCTTTAAGGAATGCTCAAATCTGAATATACAGTATACACAAGGTTGGGGGGGCTGCCCCGATGTGTAAATTGAACTTCCCTTTGTAGTTGCATTATCCCTACCTCCTTTCCAGAAACTGATGATTGCTCTTGAAATTTTCCTGCTAGTTGGGCCACAGATGGAGTTGTGGGCTTTTCCACCATCATCTTGGTCTCTGATGGTTTGTCCTGAAAGAAAACCAGAAATGAAATGTTTCTCAATTTAAGAAATAGAGGGGAAAGAGTTGGGAAAACTAAAACTTTTATTGTTAAAACAAAAATCCTACTGATATCAAATTGTCTCAAGTTTTGTTTTACTCCTTGAACATTTTAAGAAATAATATATTCAAATCATTTACTATTTTAGGGAATAATAAACGGTATTAGGAAATTCTTTCTATTATCTTGTATGAATGGAACTGGCATGAATATTGGTTTAAATATCATTTTTTACCTGACAACTGTTCCCCCAAAATCTACTTATTAGCTCATTCCATTATTGTTTCAATTTTAAAATTGGGTGGCAAGATAATAGCATTGTTGTTGCTGTTGATATTGTTTTTAGAGGGAAAATGGATTTATTTGAAAGTAGACGCTAGAAAAAGAAACAAAGAAGACACTTAAAAGTATTTGAACTGGTGAGACATTTAACTGAGTTGAATACTGGTAGATGGAAAGAGATTTAGGTATGAAAAGAGGAAGAAGTTGAGAAAAAGAAATCAGTGGTTGGGAGATCATCATTATGAAGATCACCTTTCAGCTGATAGAAGCTAGTGGAAGGGAGTGTAGTTGCTCTCCCATACAGGACTAAGAAGACAAAAACCTATGGGAAAAAAAGGTGACACAATCCCTTCTTGTTGGTAGAAGAATGGGAATCTAGAACTGAAAAAAGTAGAAGTGAGATTGATAACTTAGATCAGTGGGCCCAAACCTTTTGGGCCCCAGGGACCTGTTCCATGGAGAGAGGTTTTTCGCAGACCAGAGTGTGTGTGGTTTCATGTTCTGCCTGCACCCTGGGGACAGGGTTTTGCTTGTTCGCATGGCCAGGCTTCTGGCATGCTGTGGACCAGTGCTGATCCACAGACTGGGAGTTGGGGGCCCTGGTTTAGAGGAACAGCCCTCTCTTGGGTTGAGGTTGGTGGCTACAGAGTCTCAGTAATGAGAGAACATGGGGAAAGAGGAACAGGTGTTAAATGAAGAAATTGTCTGTTCCCACAATAAAGAGATTAGGGGCGTGAACGGGAGCTAATGAGGGAAGGCCAGAAAAGGGAGAGGGAGGGAGGGAGGGTGGGGGAGAGAGAGAGAGAGAGAGGGAGGGAGGGAGGGAGGGAGGGAGGGAGAGAGAGAGAGAGAGAGAGAGAGAGAGAGAGAGAGAGAGAGAGAGAGAGAGAGAGAGAGAGAGCTAGTCTTATCATTTTACAGTAGTTCCAGCTGAACAGCAGGTGGGTCTGGGGATACCATAAGAAAAGATTCAGGTTGGGGTCCAGAAGTAGTCAGAGTTATAAAATCTCAATTGGGCATAACAGAAGAGCTGTTATTGGAACAGAAACTTTCTAGTTCTGATATACCATCTATTGTTCAGAATGGAGTTCACTTTTCCGGAAGGAACAATTGAGATTGTTTTCACCAAATAAAATCTGCCTTTTCCACATAGTCTAGTCAAGACAAGATGCTATTGGTTGGGGCCTGGAACATGATCTTCTTAGTGGTAGGCCACTTGTTCTGGAATACCTCTTGAAGTCAGATTAGCCCACCTATTCTTTAATAGAATGGTAAAAAAATGCTGTAGTTCTCTTCTGCAGAGTATTTGGAAAAGATTTCTAGTTAGAGAACAACTATGACATATTTTTATTTAATGTAATATGTTAATATTAGACTGGGAAGTAAGTGGGGAACCAATATACTTTCAAGTTAGAATCAGATTATAGAAAGGGAAGGTAGGAGGATTGCTAGTTAAATCCACAATTCTATCCATGATGTCCCATAACTCTAATCATGCTAGCAGTTTGATGGTATTCTTTGATCAGTAATCCAAAAGCTAAAAGTACCAGAATACCAGGACACCACTCATTTAAATAGTGTTTAAACTGTTTTGTAGAGTAAATTATGTGCAGGAAAAAATAGACAAACTGCAGTATAACTGAATAATTTTAGGTTGTGACCACTAAAATAAGTAGCTACATTGAGGCAACTTTCTTTTTATTTCAAAACATATTTCGTCACTTATTTATCCACTTTCGATTACAAAATGTATTTCTTCACTTATTTTGCCACTTTTGATTATAAAATCTATTTCTCCACTTATTGCTGCATTCAGAGAGCCTCCTGCCAGTTCCATTTGCTGAGTGGAGCCACAGCCTTCATCCTTATGTCCTCTTTTGATTGCACTACTGTTGGCAAGCCATGGAAGAGTTAAACAGCTTCCACCTGCCAATATTTCTCTTTAAAGGAAGCTCTGTTTCCCTCCTAACATCTATTTCTGCACATATTGTTCTCAGTGAATAAGAAAAGATTTGTCCTTCACTGCATTGGACTCAGGAAACATTCTAAGATTAGATTAGATCATGCAAAGACTGGCAGCTACAGATGCACAGATTATATTCCAAAATTTCACAGTTTGAAAAAAATCAGATATGGAAAGAAGTGTTTGTGTGGGGGAGAACAAGCATTCTGTCCTTGTTCACAAATACTGTAATTCAGCGAGGCAGAATTAAATCATTGGGAAAGCAAATAGCCATTGTAGTATTCCAGGAACAAGAAAATAATTTGCCTCAATCAATGCTGCACATACTTTTGATACATCATTCTAGCATTATATAAGGTGTCTTCCAAGCTATTTCAGAGTCACTTGGAAATAGTAGCAATTCCATCCACTGAGGGGAATACAACATTTTGACACATGTTCCAGACTAACTGAAGAATAAAATAACGTACTTGTAGGAAGGTAAAAAGAAATTGAGTGAAATCCTAGTTCAAATTCATTGTCATTACTATAACACTACAATAATAGTAAGGCTGTGTAAATAAAGTTGATTTCTGAGTATGACAATTCCACATGCTAAAATAAATATAAGGAGACTCATAATGTGCACAGAAACTCTGCATAGAAACATGCAGTGTTCTACCCAGGGAGTATTAGGGTGTAACAATAGCTCTCATGTGGTCAGGAGAATGGACTGAATGCCACACTGTATGTGAAAAGTAAGGTACTTTTATATTTATTTATTGTCAAGGATATCAGGCTGTCAATATCACTTAAAAGCAATATTCAAATTATACTGAAACTAGACTTCTATTTCTTTCATTATATAACAGTATCTTCTATGAATAAAATGTTGGAGTACTTATAATGAATTGCTGAGTATTACACACCAATTTGAAATATAACTTAAGTGAATGTATTTTGGGTACAGGCTTAAATGTCATTCTGGGTTTGCAATGCATACAGTAAATATTTATGTGAATTGTCTGAATATAGCATTCAGACAATTCACATAAATATTTATTGTATGCATCACGATCCCAGAATGATATTTATGGAAAGATAGTCACCTTCCTTGCATTATTTTTCTGTTCCCTGAACAGAATCATACCGAATAAACCACACAAATCTATGGACTTTTTTTTGGAAACTGTATTTGAGTAGAATTTTATGTACGCCTTAGATCAGTGGTTCTCAACCTGTGGGTCGGGACCCCATTTGGGGTCGAATGACCATTTCACAGGGGTCACAAAACCATGCTGTCCGCCATTTTTTCCCTTTTCCCTAGCTGTCCTACTCCCTCTTATTGGTGGCCACACCCACTTGGGGGTCACCACAACATGGGGAACTGTATTATAGGGTCACGGCATTAGAAAGGTTGAGAATCACTGCCTTAGATAGTATAAAATGTAATCTGATTTTTTAAAGTTTCAGTTTAGCAAACATTTGCATTTATTTTGATCATAGCACTAATTTATTTAGAGATATTTTTATGAATATATTCTGGTAGTTTCTTTCATTTTGTAGATTACTCTGTGTGTGTATAATAAAAGTTTAGAGCAATTATATATTTTTGTTAGAAGTTGTTTTGAAAGCTTGTAAAACACGAAGTTTTATATTTTACTTGATATCTCTTTTAAAATATCCAAGTGACTATACTATTTTCTCAATTTATAAGTAAAGGCATGTTTTTGGTTAGAGAAGGGAGAGCTCCAGTATTCTGAGCACTCCAAGAGTTGACACAACACTGCAGAAAATACATTGTGCATTGCCTTCCCCTCTTGCATTGTTCATGGCAGGTTACCATTATAGTTGCCATGATAACTGCAAATCGTCACTGCTTCACTTCACCATGGTCAGGGGTAGGCAACCTTGGCTCTTTTATGACTCGTGGACTTCTGCTCCCAGAATTCCTGAGCCAGCATGGAGTTGAAGTCCACAAGTCATAAAAGAGCCAAGGTTACCTACCCCTGATCATGGTTCTAGAAAGGACACTACTACTGAGTATGTCCTTCATCTGAACATGTTCTTCATTTGAAGACTTGCCCATTTCAAATCCAGTTGAACACAAATGTTAATGAGAATTTGAATTGCACTGCAGCTGTTTGTGTCCAGAAGACAGACTGAACTCTTGGTGCAATGTTCTCGCTATGGTGAGATGTATCTAAATTACAGCCAATGTTTCTAAACCCGTACATATGCAGTTTGAAATATTATGCAATTCTGCACAATTTTGTTCTTTTTGTCTCTTTTCTGGAATGATGCTTATACAGCTAGCTTAAGCACCATACAAAATAGGTTTAAATTATTATAATTGTACTATAATACTTAATATTAGAGATGAACAAACAACTGCTAATCCTCTGCTGTAACAACCAATAAGCATCATACTGTAAGTCCACCCATGCTGATAATCATAGTAAATGGTTCTTCTTACACTTAATTTACAACAGCAGCAATTACTACTATTACAGAAGAAATGGTTCATCCAGTTGTATCTGTGATTTCAGGCGGGAGATACTCTTAAGAAATTAACTTGTTCTTATGATAGACAGAAGACTGTGGCTTTAATAGAACTAAACATTTGGTGATCCTTTTAGGACTATTATTTGTCTAAAATACGTAAGATATTTTACTAAAAGTGAAGGAATAGAAAAAAAGGATAAGTTGTCAATGTTCTCAAATACATGGTTTCAGTTTAAAGAAA